GCGGCCACCAAGGAGACGGGCAATTATAGTATATTAGTAAACGGACCATAAGGGGATACCATTAGTAATTTTTCCGACCCCTATATTAGACACAAACCCTAAACCCTAAACCCTAAAAACCCTAAAAGCCCTAAAAGCCCTAAAACCCTAAAAACCCTAAAAACCCTAAACCCTAAACTATAACCCTAAACCCTAAACCCTAAACCCTAAACCCTAAACCCTAGCAGGTGGCAGCACTTTAAATCCCCCCCCCCCCCCCCCCAAAGTCCTCCGCGCGGTCGGAGGCGCGCCGGAAGTTGACACAGCGCCTGCAGCAACAAGCCCTGGAGGAGCATGGGATTGGGTTTAGGGTTTAGGGTTTAGGGTTTAGGGTTTAGGGTTTTAGGGCTGTAGGTCCCGAAAGCCCTTCAGCTGTAGGTCTTGACAAAGAAAAGCTTTCTGTGTATGATGGATAGTACAGGGCCTTAAACTGAATGGTTTTGTTGGGTCCGAGGTGGAGCTTACGGCTTACGGCCTTGCTTGCGAAAGTGCATTTTACGTTTAGGGTTTAGGGTTTAGGGTTTAAGGACTTTCTAAAGGAACGCATGGCACCTAGTTACGCTTCCTACCATATGTTCCCTGTTGCGGCTCCTGCCTAAAGTCACAAGCCGCCGGTTCCGGCATATCACACACTAGTACCTATAAGCCCCGAACGATAAACACCCACTCTACTTTGGCCAGTGGAGCTTGCCCTAAACCCAAACCCAAAACCCTAAGCCCTAAACCCTAAACCCTAAACCCAGTGCACCCCCAGGCCAGCCAGGCAGGTGGCCAACCCTCACACCTTAGGCAACAAAAGCTGAAGCTCTAAGCCCTGAACAGCAACCATAAATCCGAAACCGTAACCCGAAACCCGAAACAGCAACCCTAAACCCTAAACCCTAAACCCTAAACCCTAAACCCTAAACCCTAAACCCTAAACCCTAAACCCTAAACCCTAAACCCTAAACCCTAAACCCTAAACGAAACAGGAACCCTAAAGCCTCCAGCCCTAAGGCCACAAGCCCAAAATGGCAGCTGTAACTTCTAGTGGGTGGAGACGCCCAGCCTGCTATCTCGAGGCCTCCAGCATCTCTTTGGGATGGGCTTTATAGGGTTTGATAGACCCAGAACAATAACAAAGCTTTAACACCTTCTTTCCTTTTTTTTACTAACCTTAACACTAACCTTAACCCTTAACCCTGACCCTTAACCCTAACCCTAACACAAAGCGTTTATCAAGGACCTATGTAGCATTCTTGGCTGGGGTATTCGATAGGTTTCCTGGAGAACCCTGCCCTAAACCCTGTGAGGAGCCCCAAAGTTGGCCTTCTGCCCTCTTTAGGCTTCCGGTTCTCCAGAACAGAACCGTGAAAAGAGCAAATAGAGTGTATGTAGGGTTTAGGGCTGAGGCTCGGTTTAGGTGATTTTTTTGGTGGGGCAGGGCCCTCCCCCTCTCTCTCTCTCTCTCTCACATGGGCTGATGACTTGGTAAGGTCAGGGTCGTCTTGCGAACCGCCTTCACACTGGGTGTACCCAACCCCAAGCCCTAAACCCTAAACCCCAAACCCTAAACCCTAAACCCTAATCCCTCAACCCAGAGGGTATCCAGGCTTCAGGCTTTGGAGTGGCAAGTCCTTGGCAGGAGCGCCTCAGGCACAGTCGCGCAGAGGACAGTCCGACAGGGTGAGCCAACGATGCACCCCCAATAGTTTGATGTAGTTCAGGTTGGCCCTAAACCCTAAACCCTAAACCCTAAGCCCTAAACTCGAAACCCTAAACCCTAAACTCTAAGCCCTAAACCCTAAACCCTAAACTCTGGCAACCTCCAGCCAAGATACGGTTAAGGCAAGGCTTGTCCTGGACAACATGATCTTGGCTTTGATCCTTAAGATCTGCTGCACAAAATATGGTCGGCGGCCCCTCCTATTTAGGATACCCCAAAAGAGACCATATATGCAGAGGACTGACCATATATCTCCCGACTTGATTTTAGGCCCCAAAAATAACAGCTATGAAGTGAGTTCGTATGACTGCGTTTGTAATGTTCATCTTGTTTGCGCTTTGTTCATGGAGTTCGGGAAAAGACATCTTTCAACGCTGTTGTTACACTTTAGCTGCTCCAGAAATCGCCTGTGATCAAGGATTCAAGACCCGAGAGGTTTAGGGTTTGGGGTTTAGGGTTTCGAGGGTTTGTTTCGGTTTAGAGTTTCGAGGGTTTGGCTCTGCGGCTTTGGTTCCGCTCGAAAACGAGTCCTGAAGCAGGTGGGCAGCCACCTAGCCAAAGACTCTGGCTTTGTAGCCCAGTGGTACCCTTTACCTTTTTTTGGGTTCAAGGTTCCCTTATAAGGCAAGCAACCCAAAAAAGGTTGCCCTTATTGTAATATGGTTGCTGGGCTACCAAGCTGGCATTAGGCTTCGGATGGTTCAGCCCACAATAACCCTGGGCTCCAAGTATATATACAGTACCTACAGTGGGGTCTAAAGTCTGTACATAGTACCTACTTTGGGCCATTGGGAGCCTTCGGGTTTCCCTAAACCCTAAACCCTAAACCCTAAACCCTAAACCCTAAACCCTAAACCCTAAACCCCACCAGCTATGCCTCTGGCTACAGGATGCTCGAAGGGAGGCGGCGCGACAAGCGGCCAAGGCGGCCGTTCATGTTCAGACGTGTCAACGTCTCAGAAAGAGGGTTTAGGGTTTGGGGTTTGGGGTTTAGGGTTTAGGGTTTAGGAGCTCCAGAAAGACTCAACCAGAAAACTTGCGAAATCGGGAGGATCTTGAGTCTCAAGGATTCCTGGAATTTTGGAACATGCTTGCCGCGAAAAAAGGTTCGTGTGCAGGAGCAGTTTAGTTAGACTTTTTCTCGCCTTGAGTAAGCCCTGATGGCCAAAATGGCTCGCGCATTGGCGCCCTTGCTGGCGACCACGGCCCTGGCTTTGGGCGGTTTAGGGTTTAGGGTTTAGGGTTTGGGGTTTAGGGTTTAGGGTTTAGGGCTTAGGGCTTAGGGCTTAGGGCTTAGGGTTTAACATTCTGCAAGCCTGCTGCAGAAGGGTTTAGGGTTTAGGATTTAGGGTTCAGGGTGTAGGGGCAGTGCGCTTGCGATGCTTTGCAGGCGCGTTTTTTTGGTCCGACAGATCTTGTTAAAGCAAGGTCAAAGAGCCCAATACCCCTCAACTAAGGAAAGCCCTAAATCAGATTAAGAACCCCTACATAAATTCAGGTCTGTTCCTGAGTTAAGGGTTTTTGGGGCTCTTCGGGCGGTCTTCGGGTGTAGGGCGCATGTTCTTAGGATCACCGTTTCCTTTTTGTTGAGTAAAGCCTGGTTTCGGAACACATTTAACATCACCCGGTGTGCGGGAGTGTGGCTCGGGTTTGTTTGGGGTCAGAGGGGGAGTTCTCAGCTTTGGGTTTAGGGTGTATAGTGTTTATGGGGTTTATAGGGTTTTTAGGTTTTAGGGTTTAGAGTTTAGAGTTTAGGGTTTCGGGTTTAGGGTTTAAGGTTTAGCTAGGGATCGCCGTCGACCCCCCTGGTCCTGCTGCAGGTGGCCAAGTCTCACAAGCAGTGACGGGCCGGCGTGAGAGCGTCATGTAGCTTCCGCAAAGCGCGCCCGGCAGTCCCCGATATTCCCCATACTTTTTGGCTTAGACTCATTTTTAGTGTATCTTGGGATGTTCACCCTTTTGCTAACAGTCCTTAGTAGGGATTGTAGTATTATCCCAAAGTATATAGTTAAATCGAACTAAAAAAGACAGCGGCAACGGTTGCATTCTTAGGTAAAGTACGGGGAATCTAGTAGCATGGAAGGTCCAAGTTTTGATCCAACCCCAATCCCTAAACCCTAAACCCCACTCCCTAAACCCACACCGATGGCCTCAAAAAAGCGCCAAGGCCTCAGCTACGGGATCGCCGAGATTCTTGCAGTTGGCGGTTCACCACGTAGGGTTTTCTTTCGAATTTGAGGGTTTAAGGTTAAGGGTTACCTGGTCCAATAATATGTCTCAGGCATTGTGTTTGATTATTCCTCATACGACCTATAGGCGAATGTTGCCATTTCTTGTACAGGTTCGGACGCGACTCGAACACGTACGCATTGGGGCTAGTACTTCGGCCGGAAGGGAGTGGGTTGTGTAAGCCTGAACCCTAAACCCTGAAACTTAAGCCATAGAGCCTAAACCGAGAGTGGTCAGTTAATCGGGTGGCAAAAAACCCTAAACCGCTTTGTGCGCCTTAAGTTGTTATCAGACGACTTGATCGTCGACCCAGGGTTCATGGTGTATATAGGGCTTAGGGGCACTGATCTTTTCTCTTAGGGCTTTAACCTTGCTCTTAGGACTTTAACCTTTTGGGCTTTTGAAGCAACTATACAATAAGGAGCCCAGAAGTTAAACTTTTAGGAGGGATTCAGAAGTCAGCCAAAAAACTTTCGTAGACCCACAGTCCAAATTTAGTTCCTTGAGGAAGCCGGACATGTAGGCTTACATGCCTTCAGCTGTCAAGGCAGAATCTCACCGTCCAGTGAGCGAAGAAAGTCCGACGCCTGCTTGCGCCTGCATGCCCCCTCCCCAACCCCCTGGACCCTAAACCCTAAACCCTAAACGCCCACAGGCCTGGGCAATGCTTTACTTCATAAAGCCCAAGCTGGATCTCACCCTGGCTCAGCAAAAACTCGACACTTCGGGCTTGTGAATAAACACCAACTGCTTAAAGAACCCCCCGACAATGAAAAATGTTCTTCCTTATAAGGCTAATATAGGGATTATTGTTTTTTTTTCTTCTTTTGGGGGGGTTCTTAAGCAAAGAGTAGATAAAGCGTTTACCTCAAATTGTACTGGTCCATTCTCCGCATACGAGGTATCGGGCCCCTCCGACTCATCCCGAAGGTCGTTGGCTGTACGGCGGTTTAAACAGAGGAATGGTGGGTCTGCTTAGATGCAGTATGGAATGTTCTGAAGTTGAGGCCCATGAATGTGTTAAACAATGGCGCTGGAGGATCAAGAAGTGTCAGATAGAGGGTGAACAGTTTGCACGCGGTCCTGTTCTTCCTTCATGGGCCACTGAGCACCTCCCTAAACCCTAAACCCTAAACCCTAAAACCCTAAACCCTAAACCCTAAACCCAGGAAAGACCCTGAGCATGGTGCACATAGAGGGCGGGAGGGGCAGACCCTAAAACATAGTTGAGGGGGGTGGGGGGCCGGCAGAGGCTTTAAACCGTAGGTACAAAAATCCCTAAACCCTAAACCCTAAATCCTAAACCCTAAACCCTAAACCCTATTAAGTGCAAAACCCATGCCCCAGTCTTGTGGCAGCAGAGTCCGCGGAGGCAGCGGAGAGAAAGCTCGGAGCGACTTCTCGGCCGGAGATTCAGGAGCGATAGGGTGTAGGGCTTAGGGTTTAGAGTCTAGGGTGCAGGGTTTAGGGTTTCTCACAGTTCCAGAAAGATTGTTGTGGAGGGCGTTGCAAAGGTTTGATGGGGTGCTTCTAGACAAGGATTCTCATATGGGTAATAATAGGGGGTACCATATTATCATATTCCCCATTAGGCACTGTTAGTATAAGGGGGAGCATCCCAATGTAAGAGTGTGTTATTAGGGCCCCATTTTGAGAGCCCGCCCAAAGTCGCATCATCCCGTGCGGCTTGTGTTGAATAGCAAACACCGCATGTTCGTCATGAACCTAAACCCTAAACCCTAAACCCTAAACCCTAAACCCTAAATGGCGAACTGGTGGGTGTCTTCGCTGTCTACTCAGAAGGCCCTGCCAAAGACACAATCCCGATCGCCCCGTCCGAAACCCGAACAAACTCTACCGCCTTCTCTAAGGGTCCATGTACCTATGTAGTAGATGGTTGGGCCCGAAAAACTACTTCATAGGATCGCCTAATAGGCCTAAATACAAACTCTGGGTACATTGTCCCTACTCCCTTTTGAGAGTTCTGGAAGGCTGCAAAGCTCTTGGACGTCGCCGGGCCCCCGGTTGAAGACCCGAGATCCATAAATTTCGCTGCCTACTTGGAAGCTCTTTTGACTCACTATGGGTTGAGGGTTTAGGGTTCAGGGTTTAGGGTTTAGGGTTAGTCAGTTGGGTTTACGAGATTATAATGGAGGGCTGATATGCGGGTTATCACCCTAAACCTGATAATTCCTGAACCCTAAGCCCTAACCCCTACACATATAATGGGCTACGAAGTACCCTGAACCTCCAAGTGCAGGTGGAGTGCGAGCTCATTGCCAACTGCTCCGCAGCAGCACGGGTCCTGGAAAATCGTGGAGCTTCCATTGAGGGTTTAGGGTTTGGGGTTTAGGGTTTAGGGTTTAGAGTTTAGGGGTTAGGGTTTAGGCTTAGTGGTGTCCATGGCAGCTTGAGGCACGTAAGAGAGCCCGGTTTAGGGTTTCGGGTTTAGGGTTCGTGGGCCCCCTCACAACTCCGTGTGTTGTTTGGCGCTCGCTGCCTGATGTTGAAGGACGTTTGGGCAGCCATACGTCAACAATGAAACTGCACTGCTTGACTCGCAGGGTTTGGGGTTGCACCCTGAGCCCTAAGCCACTTGGGACAGTGTGTGCCCTGGCTTGTCCGAATGTGAGCGATTACACTTAAACCCTGAACCCTGCACCCTAAATCCTAGGTATTTATTGTGTAAGGGTTCAGGGGCTTTACTTGGAGGTTTCTGGTACTTAGGAACTGTACTTATAACCCAACTATAACCCCATTAGGGTGCGTAAGGGGCTTATATGTGGGTCATAGCTAAACTCATTATGGCTCACAAAGTACCCTGAACCTCCAAGTTGTGGCATTAGGGTTCAGGGTTCCCCTTGACGCTTGCGTCCCTGAGTCCCGGTGCTGCTCTTGGCATGAGGTGATGAGCCTGATCAACCGCTTCAAAATGGGTGAGATCAAGTCACCGTCAGGCTGGTCTAGGGTTGCGGGTTTAGGGTTCCGGGTTTGGGGTGGGTGGGTGGGGGGTTGGGGGTGGGTGGGTGGGTGGGTTTCGTGCACCGTACCGGAGCTTCAAACTCATCATTGCCAAGATGGGGGCGGGGGGCCTTCTTTCTCTTTATACACACCTAGCTCTAACACTAGACCCCCCCAAATACGTTACGTTGTGCCCCTAAACCCGAGCAACCCTACAAACCCGAACGCCCTAGGGGCCCACCCTAAACCCTAAAACCCTAAAACCCTAAACCCTAAACCCTAAACCCCTTAAGACTACATTGAAGACTTTAAACTCTGGACCTGGAGGTTGGTTCTCGGGGTCAGGAGAATGAACCCCCAAAGGGAGGGGGCCATCCAGGAAGTGGCGACTACAGAGGGCTTACAGGGTTTAGGGTTTAGGGTTTAGGGTTTAGGGTTTAGGGTTTAGGGTTTGCGGCTCTGTTCTAGGCCCATGTTAGGCTAGTTTCCTCCGACGCTTCCGAAGCACACAGTGGCCAGTGGTTTAGATAAATTACAACCCAAACCCTCAATCCTGCCTGCTTTGTGAAAGTGGCCCTAAACCTAATCTCATGGGTCTTCTTTCTACCCCCCTCTATCCTCCTACCCCCCCTAGGTTGGCCCCATCAAGACAAACCGTAATTAGGCTTAACTATCCCTAAAGGCCCTTAATCATGGGCGAGCCTGGGAGGAGTAGCATAGAGAGGGGGTAGTAGGGGAACCCATGATAAACCCTAAGCCCCCGTTCCCAAATTTATTGTGTTTCTTTGGGGCCGCCGGCTGAAGCTTGAGGATTCCGGGTTGGGTTTCGTGCTTACTGTATGGTTTCTAGGGGGGGGGGTGAAGGGGGCTACGTAACGCAAGGTTCCCTAATAGTCCCCACTACTCTCTCAGGCTTTTCTAGGTACCTACCCCCCATGAACCCCCCCGCCCTTAAGAACCACATAAGTTCAGGGTGCAGGGTTCAGGGTTTAGGGTTTAGGGTTTAGGGTTCAGGGTTTAGGGTTTAGGTTTTAGGGTTTAGGGTTTAAAGGAGCCTCGCCCAAGCGTTTTGCTCAATAGCCATCTTCGGCAGCCTTGCCAAAGACGGCCCGCCTGAGTTCGGGCACAGAGCAACCCAAGCGCTCCACGATGGCCGTGTCTCAGCCACAGGCACAATTTCCCGGGTTGGGTTTCGGGGTTAGGGTTTAGGGTTTAGGGTTTAGGGTTTAGGGTTTAGGGTTTAGGGTTTAGGGCTTCGCGTGCAAATTTGAGTTCAAGCGGTTCCTACTTCAACACGCAGCCCCTGCCCCTAAACCCTAAACCCTAAACCCTAAACCCTAAACCCTAAACCCTAAACCCTAAACCCTAAACCCTAAACCCTGAACCCAAAGCCGTGTAAGCAGGATGTCGTCGGAAGTGGGCGTGGACATTATCTGGCACCCACGCTGGCCAGCCTGCGCGCACATGAGATCCACCATGCTTCGCCCGAGCCACGCAAGGATGAGGACCGGGATCTTGGGAGCCGTAAACCCTAAACCCTAAACCCCAAACCCTAAACCCTAAACCCTAAACCCAGGAAGCCCGGGTCCCCCAAGCCCTCTACTTGGAGGCACAATGATGAGTCGACTTCGAACCTACTTAGGTTGGACTTAAGGGGCTCCTAAGTACGGTTTAGGGTTTAGGGTTCAGGTTCAGGGTTTAGGGCTTAGGGCTTAGGGTTTAGGACGCCGGACATGTAGGCTTACATGCCTTCAGCTGTCAAGGCAGAATCTCACCGTGGGCTCAGGGTTTAGGGGACTGAACGGGCTTATAAGTACAGTCATAATTGCCCTTAGGCTCAAAATAGCCCAAAACCTTGTATGATAAGGCTGTTGGGCCCCAAATCCTTTAAATAAGAGTTCTTGGAGGCTCATAGGGCCTTAGGGTTAGGGTTATGAGTACCCATGAACCTCCAAGTACCCCTAAACCCTAAACCCTAAACCCTAAACCCTAAACCCTAAACCCTAAACCCTAAACCCTAAACCCTAAACCCTCAGTTTTGGAACAGACCTTCGACACACATTACGTTATTTAGGGGCACGCCAGGCCACCCTGAAGCCTAAACCCTAAACCCTAAAACCTAAACCCAAAAACCTAAATTCCAGAAATTTGTTGTTCCTTGGTTCAAGCTCTCTGGGTCAATAGGGTCAGATGGCCTGTTAGGGTTGGTGGGGTTTGTAGGGTTTGTATGGTTTACAGGGTTTATGGGGTTTACAGAGTTTATAGAGTTTATAGAGTTTATAGAGTTTATAGGATTTATTTAAACCCTAACCCTTCAACCTTAAACCCTAAAACCTAAACCCTAGCATGGGGTGCTGGCTTTGCGAAGCGCTTGGGGCGCGCGGAGATTCCGACAGCAGGAAGTGCATCTAGCACAAGACCCTCTCCTGAGGCTTTTGGGTGTAGGGTTTAGGGTTTAGGGTTTAAACTGACTTCAGGGCTTGAGGGGGTTTGTTGAGCCTCGCAGGCGAACGTGGATGCATCCTCGACCGAACTGCCGGATGAGACGCCGAGCCCACCGTGGCCCCAGATGCCAGCAGCCGAGGTCTCCTCAAGCCACGGCAACTTCCCGATGTGGCCCGGGTTTCGGGTTAGGGTTTAGGGTTTAGGGTTTAGGGTTTAGGGTTTAGGGTTTAGGGTTTAGGGTTTAGGGTTTAGGGCTTAGGGCTTAGGGCTTAGGGCTTAGGGTTTCAGGTTTAGGCCTCGGCTTGCGGGTTTTTAGGGTTTTCGATTTTGGGGGCTGTAGGGTGTGCTGCAGGCTGTCGGCTGGCGCCCAACACTCCTTAGTTAGGGTTTAGGGTTTAGGGTTTGGGGTTTGGGGTTTGGGGTTTAGGGTTTAGGGTATAGGGTATAGGGTTTAGGGTTTAGGGTTTAAGGAGTATACCTCGAAGAAGACAGGGGAATTTCTATTCAGAAATCAGGTTGATTCCTGAACGATCAGGGTTATTGGCAATTCTGGATATAGGGCACGTGTTAGAAACACCCTGCCCTAAACCCTAAACCCCTTAACCCCTTAAACCCTTAAACCCTTAAACCCTTAAACCCCAAACCCTAAACCCCTAAACCCTAAGCCAATGGCCGTGAGGTGGGAGTCTGAGCAGGTCACCCTGCCATCTGCACAGAAGGAAGAAGAGGCGAAAGCTCCAGTCAAGCCACAGCGTGACTTAGTAGCTGACTGAGGGTTTAGGGTTTAGGGTTTAGGGTTTAGGGTTTAGGGTTTAGGGTCCACTATAGAACGAAAATGTACTTTTTTTTTTTTTTTTGGGGGGGGGGGGGCTTATGAACTCAGCAACTAAGGTGAGATTGTCACCACTGTGGATGATTGGTTCAATCTCGGGGAGATTTTCGGCTGCTTCATGGCAAGGGAGAAGAAGTGAAAGCCCAAGACACTGCAAAGCAGTCGTCTAGCAAGCCAGCCTAGCGGTAACGTCTCGCAACGGGGTCTTGGCCGGTTCGGTCTGTACCCTGCACGTTGCGTTCCTTCGCTGTACTGCTTTTTGTTTTTCCATGTATATACTTTAGCATACTTTATATATACGTATAGATATCTATATATATAGAGAGAGAGGCATGTTGCATATCCCATATATACAGGCCTTTAATGTTGGACCTGCTTTATTAGGGGGGGTCGCTTTAAAGTCAATTTGGCGGAATTATTCAGGACCCCCTCACTGTTTGAGGGGTCCGCTTTAAAGTCAAACCGTACCCGAAATCCGGCAATTGAGTCATATATAAGCTCATCCCTTTTAGATTCATATGGATCCCTTTTAAATCTATCTAAACTCCTCCCTATTAAAATCATATAAACCCCCGGAGCCCTTTATTCAGGACCCAATCCACGCCCCGACTGTTCAGGGGGGGGGGGGGGCCCACATTAAAGCAGGTCCCACATTATACGCTAACTGCGATAGCCCCCGGGCGCGCGGCTAAACATGTTTCGCTCTACTTGAAGAGCTCTTTGTCTTCGAAGCTACGGACTGTCTGCTCATGAGGGCAAAAGCTGCCCGGCTGGAGCATCGTGCTTGAGCTATGCAGGTAATAGAATAGCCTGCAAGCATTGAAAAGTATTTTGCCGGGTACCTGTACACCAGGTCCTGTATTGGTGTGGAGGGTTTAGGGTTTAGGATTTAGGGTTTAGGCTTTAGGGTTTGGGTAGTGTGTGTCTGCCAGGTGAACAAACCCTCACAACTGCAGACCCAGAGCTCATGGTCAGCAGCTGCATAGACCCTAAATCCCCGAAATTTACCCTTAAGCTCAAAACGGGCCAAAAACCTTACATAATAAGGCTTTTAGGCCCCAACCCTGAAAGAAGAGTTCTTTGGAGGGTAAAGCAGAAACTACACCTAATTCCCAGAAAACCCATAGAAGGCAGCCCCACAGCGCAAGCACGGGCAAGCTTTTTAAGCCCATAAAGCTGCTTCCGTAGCATCCGCGGCCTCCGGGGTCCTGGCGCCAAGCATGGTTCAGGGTTAGGGTTTAGGGTTTAGGGTTTGGGGTTTGGGGTTTGGGGTTTGGGGTTTAGGGTTTAGGGCGGGTTTAGGTTCAGGGTGTTGCAGGGTTTAGGCGTTTCTGGCCTAGGGGTTTACAGTCTGTGGAGTTCAGTGGTGGGATGGTATCTTCCTGCGACAGGGTTTGGGGTTAAGTGGCATTGCAGAAGATCTCAAATGGCGCACAGGCCATGCATATGAAGCAGGGTTTATATTTCTGTTATTAAGTATATATAAGGCTCCTATTTGATGTTGGTGAGTGTATATGCCGGGTGTCCTTTTGGGGGTACAAGAAATATATACCCTACGTTTAAACCCTAAACCCTAAACCCTAATGTATATGGAGTTCAATGCACCAGCGGATGTCTTGGAAGATGCCCCGAATCCTGCATGGCTACAGGGCCCATGGTGGACCATCTCGCCAGAGAGAGGCTGCAAGAAAATGCCAGGGGTTAGGGTTTAGGATTTACGGTCTAGGGTTAGTGTTTAGGGTTTAGGGTTTAGGGTTTGTTTTTGACGGCTTTGGTTTAGAGCGATCTTGGCGACCTCCTGGAGCTTTAGGGAGTGCGAGAAGTGCCATTAAGGGATGAAGATGAAGACTCATATCCCTAAGGCTGTACGCCTCAGAGGTTCCTCTTCTTGGTTTAGGCTTTAGGCTTTAGGGTTTAGGGTTTAGGGTTTAGGGTGTTTACACCCAATTTGGTCCAAGGTACAACCCCTGGAACCATGCTAGATGGGCAGTTCTCAAAAACTGACGTCTTTTCTTCGAGATCCCTCCTTTTCAGGGTGCCGTACTTGCACGTATACACACACACATATATATATATATGTATGTATGTATATATCTACATATATGTATATATAATTTTCTCTTTATGTTTTTAAATTGATAGGGCCCCTTCAAAAGGGGATCCTGATTCGGAGAACTGCCCGCATAGGGAAGTAACCCCAAACCCCAAACCCTAAACCATAAACCCTAAACCCTAAGCCTATACGGATCATTGCATTCCAGGAGGTTTAGGGTTCAGGTTGTGGGGGGTTGGCGATTTCGGGCGCCTACCTTCGCTGTAACTTCTTACGCACATCCACCGCCACATCAGCATGTGGCGCTCGCTCTCTTAGGGCTTCGCTGTGTAGGTGTTAGGGTTTAGGGTTTAGGGCTTCGGGTGTAAGTATCAGGAAGCACTGAAACTCTACAGGCTCGGTCTGATACTTAAACCTGTCGTGCTGAGAGAGGCAGGGCCTGCACCCGGCAGCAGTGGATAAAGACTGCACTCCTCTTCTAGGAGGCCCTCAACACGAACCCTAAACCCTAAACCCTAAACCCTAAACCCTAAACCCTAAGCCCTAAACCCTAAACCCTAAACCCTACACCCTAAACCCTAAACCCTAAACCCTAAACCTTAAACCAAACCCTAAACTTTCGGCCTTAAACCCTAAACGCCAACTTCTGGACCCTTCTGGTAGAAGGTAAAGGTGCCTGACTCTACCCTCCCAGGTCTTTATCTCTATCCGCCGGGCCCTTCGCATCGCACCCTAAACCCTAAACTCCTAACAAACTCTACAAGCCCTACAAAGCCCTAAGCCCTTTCAAAGACCCTAAACCCTAAACCCTAAACCCTAAATCCTCGCCCTAAACCCGAAACCTGTAGCCCTAAACCCTAAACCCTAAACCCTAAACCCTAAACCCTTTCAAAGACCCTAAGCTCCCCGGAAGATCTTCTCCCAGAGGCCATTCCGAGGCAGCAGCGAAGCCCGCCGCAGCCCCATGCTCCAGCTCTTAGGGTTTAGGGTTTAGGGTTTAGGGTTTAGGGTTTAGGGTTTAGGGTTCAGGGTTTAGGGTTTAGGTTAGTAGGAATAACAAAGCATGGCTATGGCTCGGTAAGATTCTGAGCAACCCCACAAGGGACCATAACAGAGAGGACACCCTAAGACCTTCCCAGACCCTAAGTTTAGACACAATAGAGAAGCGCTCAAGGTCACAACGTTGCGTGGACTTGTTGTTGCGGGGGCTTTTAGGCGCGCTCCAGGCAAGCCCTACACCCGAAACCCTAAAGTCTAAGCCTTAAACCCTATACCCTAAATTGTGGGAGGGGGGGTTAGGGCCGCATTTGCACAGCCGGTGATGTTTAACTTCTTCAGCCTAACCCTGGCAAGCCTATGCGGGATTGACGTAAATTATGGGGTTGCTTTTGGTACCCCGAAACCCAAAACCTTAAACCTAAAACTATATCTTAAACTATGAGCAACATACGGTAGGAGAGGCCAAGCATTGCGGATTACCCTCCCCGCCCCCCACCCCACATGGTGCCAAGGTTAGATTCTTTTGCTTGCCCAAGAAACTGGACAAGCAAGACCCTGCAACCCTATAAATCCTATAAATCCTCTAAACCCTATAAACCCCAAACTCAATAACTCTCTATACAAACGGCATAAACCCCTATCAACCTTACATGAACCCCCTATAAGAACCTACAAGGCCTCCATAAACCCCTTTAACTCTATAACCCCCCCCCCTCGCACCCACTCCGTGCCCCCATACTCTCCATAAAACACATAAACCCGCTCCAGGATAGTCCCTCGCCATCAGCGCTAAATCCTACTGAACCCTCTAGAAACACCTCGATAACCCCCCCCCCCCCCCCTTCTTTAAACCCTCTACAAACCCTCTATAAACCTTCTAAACCTAAACCCGAAAACCCCAAACCCTAAACCCCAAACCCTAAACCCTAAACCCTAAACCCTATAGCCATGTGGACATGCAGTTCAGCTATGCGGGCGGCAAAAAAAAAGACCTATAACCCCAGGGCCCGCCGGACTGCGTCCCAGGCGCCCTTCGAGCTCGCACGAATCCGGAGCAACTTCGGAGGCTTCCCCTTGAGCTTGCAGAGTTTAGGGCTGATATGCGCATATAAGGGTTTAGGGTGTATAAGGGTTTAGGGTTTATAAGGGTTTAGGGTTTAGAAGGGTTTAGGGTGTATAAGGGTTTAGGCTGTTTAAGGGTTTCGGGTTTATGTGGGTTTAGGGTGTATAAGGGTTTAGGGTTTAGAAGGGTTTAGGGTGTATAAGGGTTTAGGGTTTATAAGGGTTTAGGGTTTAGATGGGTTTAGGGTGTCTAAGGGTTTAGGGTTTATATGTGTTTAGGGTGTATAAGGGTTTACGGTTTATAAGGGTTTAGGGTTTATAAGGGTTTCGGGTTTATAAGGGTTTAGGGTGTATAAGGGTTTCGGGTTTATACGGGTTTAGGGTGTATGAGGGTTTAGGGTTTGTAAGGATTTAGGGTTTATAAGGGTTTAGGGTTTATAAGGATTTAGGGTTTATAAGGGTGTAGGGTTTATAATTAAGCATTTAGGGTTTATAAGGGTTTAGGGTTTATAAGGATTTAGGGTTTACAAGGATTTAGGGTCTATAGGGGTTTGGGGTTTATAAGGATTTAGGGTTTAGAAGGGTTTAGGGTTTAGAAGGGTTTAGGGTGTATAAGGGTTTTGGGTTTATAAGGGTTTAGGGTGTAGAAGGGTTTAGGGTTTAAGAGGGTTTAGGGTTTATAAGGGTTTAGGGTTTATAAGGATTTAGGGTTTACGGTTTGGGGTTTAGTGCTAGGGTTTGAGGGGTGTAGGGTTTTGGGGTTTTTGGGCTTTCAGGGCCTCAGGGATTCTAGGGTTTTAGGGCTTCTGTGTTTTAGGGTTTTTAGAGGCTTTAAGGTCACGGAGAAGGGGCTTTGGGGTGTGGAGTCTTAGGGTTTAGACGGTTCAGGGCTTTAGGGCTTTAGGGCCTTTAGGGTTTTTGAGTTCAGGGCTTGGGGGCTGTAACAAACTCCCGAAGTGTTGCTGAGGGTTTAAGGTTCCGGGCGTAGTCGGGCTGGAGGTGGATGGTTGAGAAGTGGTAGCCAAGCGAATGTCCGTAGAGTTGCAGGGTATCGGGCCCGGAACCCTGCTTGGAGGTTCATGGTACTTAGTATATAACCCAATTGAAACTGTACTTATATCCCAACTATAACCTCTTAGGGTACTTAAGGGGCTTCAATGTGGGTTATAACCCTAAACCCTAAACCCTAAACCCTAAACCCTAAACCCTAAACCCTAAACCCTAAACCCTAAACACCGCCTCTGGGCAAGGCCGCGCCAAGGCGGACCTGGCCGGTCTGCGCAAGGTCACGTGCGGGCCTCGGTGAGTTGGGTTTAGGGTTTAGGGTTTTAGGGTTTAGGGTTTAGGGTTTAGGGTTTAGGGTTTAGGGTTTTAGGGTTTTAGGGTTTAGGGTTCGGGGTTTAGGATTTAGGGTGTAGGGTGTGGGGAGCTTGGTTAGGTTTTTGCAATTGTTGGCTCGAGCTTGGCTGGAGAGCCAGCTGGGACGTAGCCACTTGGCAAAAGCTTAAGAGCTTGGCCTATACTAACTTTAGGACGTTAGGGGTTTAGGGGTTTAGGGTTTAGGGTTTCTGGAGCCCTGAAGCAAAAGGGTTTAGGGTTTAAGGTTTAGGGTAGTGTTTAGTAGAGATTAGAGTACCCCCCCCCCCCCGCATTATACTCCCACGTAAGGATTCTTAGTACAAGGGGGAACATCCCAAGCAAGAGCCAGTCGACGAAGGGACCATGCTTCGAGTTTAGCCGGAAGCCCCAAATGTCAGGGTTTAGGGTTTAGGGTTTAGGGTTTAGGGCTCCGTCCATAAGCGCTTGAGTGTGACCATGGCTTCTGGGAGAAGGAGATGACGGCATTAGGGGGATTGTGGGGCAGGGGGTAGGGGGGGTATGGGGGACCTGCTTCTGCGTAGGTAATGGGAGTATCTTGGGGCATCTGGGATGTTAGGTTTCGGGGGTCGGGGGGCTCGGGGGTTGGGCTCAGAGGTTCAGTGATGAAAGGCTGCAGACTTATGCATGGGCCTTAAAGGAGTTCGTTCCTATACCGTATACGTGCCGGCATAATAAAAGGCGGGCGGGCGTGGGCCAAAAGCACACCAAACTGTGGTTTTAACCCACGCAGGACAGTGTTTCGCTATTGAAACGTGTTATTCGGAGACGTCTTTTTTTTGTTAACTTGCAGTGAAATCTTAGGCATTGTTGTAGTCAAAAGTACCACGCCTGCCAGTGTTTTGAGTATTTTTCATCATCGTATTATGAGTAGGTTTTGGCGCGTTTGCTGTGTTTTTGCGGTTCTGTGTTTTGTGGTTGTTTGGGCATTGCGAAAATGCCGGACGTGTTGACTAGAAGAGTGCATGTCCTGTGTCAATGCTGGAAGTGTGGATAGAAGAGTGCGTGTAAAAGGCTGGAACTGTCAATGCTGGAAGTGTGGACTAGAAGAGTGCGTGTAAAAGGCTGGAACTGTGAATGCTGAAGTGTGGACTAGAAGAGTGCATGTAAAAGGCTGGAACTGTAGACTAGAAGAGTGTACATAAAACACGGCAAGGAAAACAGAGGCTATGTGAACCAGAAGCAAGGAAGAAGAAGGTGAAGACATGCCCGCAACCAACCCCCCCCCCCCCCCCCCCCCCCCCCCCCCCCCCCCCCCCCCCCCCCCCCCCCCCCCCCCCTCCCCCACCCCCCCCTCCCCCCCCCGCCCCCCCTCCCCCTCGCCGTCCCCCCCCCCCATTTTTTGTAAGTGTTTGGAAAAATTTGTCGTGCCTTGGACTTAACGTCTATTCTGCGCGTGCTCTTTTTTCTTGGATTTTCCCGCAAACCTCTACGCCATGAATGAATAGATGTCTGACGGACGAGTTCGGAGGAGGGGGGAGCGTAATTCGCTTAATGGGCAGGGGAGTGGGGGACACGTGTACTACACAAGGGGTTCAAACCGTTGGGCACCTTCCACGCCCTCCGCGAACCCTCCACGCCCTCCGCCCTCCGCGCCCTCCGCGCCCTCCGCACCCTCTGCGCGCTCCGCGCCTCCGCGCGCTCCGCACCCTCCGCGCGCCCTCCGCGCCCTCCGCGCCCTCCGCGGCCGCGCCCTCCGCGCCCTCCGCGCGCCCTCACGCCCTCCGCGCCCTCCCGCGCGCGCCCTCCGCGCCCTCCGCGCCCTCCGCGCCCTCCGCTGATGCTAAGGGTGCATTGCGTCTATTCTGCGGGGGTTGCGTTGCGTCCATTCTGCGGGTATTTCCTTTGTAAAGTATTTGTTTACAAGGCACGCACGTGCAGCATAGCCTTCAAGTGTCCATCTACTCCCCCCCCCCCCCCCCCCCCCCACCCTGCCCCCTCCCCCCCTCCCCCTCCCCCCCCCCCCCCCCCCCCCCCCGCAATTAGCCGCTAACCGCGCCGTGAGCATAAACTATACGACTATACGGAGGCACATAGGTGTTGGGGGAAAGGGACGAAGCACAGTTGTTGACGAGGAATCTCCTCTCAATCCTGCTCCGTACTGTACGACGCTTCTCCAACTCCTAGCAAGTATGTACTAAGTACGAATAGTCACGGTCACAGGCATCAAGGTACTTCTCACGGGTTCGAAATTTAGGAGAGCCGACTGCGCGGTGAATCTCCAAATGTCTGTGGCTGCAAGATCTTGGATCCCGACCGCACTGCAAGCATCGCAATTTCCAGCAGCACGCAGCGCCGGTCTCGGGAGGGTGAAGCTTCAGCCCCGAAGATCTCGGAATCTTCACCCCCCCCAACCGATTCTTGGGCAGTTTCTGAGGGTTGAGCAAACCCTAAACCCTAAACCCCTAAACCCCCAAAATCCCCATACCCTACATTCTTACAGCCTTAACAGGAACGAAAGAAGGGCCAGCGAAGCCACAAGTTTGAGGCCCTTGCACCATTAGCCCTCCCCCCCCCCCCCAACCAACCCCCTACATCTGCAGAGATTCTCAAAGGATGTGGATAACAAGATCACTCTAAACACTTAGACTTGGAGTTTAGGATTTAGGGCTACCATAGGCTTTAGAGAGATCTTTGACCATCGCTGGATCTGAAGCCATGTGGCCCTGCTGCTGGCGGGCGCTGCCCCGCCGCGCGTGCCGCGCGGGCGCGCGGCGCTTTGCCGCGGCATCGGCCTTGCGCCGGGGGCAGAGCTCTGACCCACGGTCTGATTGCGATGTGTAGGGTTTAGGGTTTAGGGTTTAGGGTTTTATAGGGTCAGTGTTTGGGTATAAAAAGTGCCTTTGCATGAAACATAGGGCCAATACAGGGTGGCCCATCGAGTGTTAACCTTTCTTCCAATTGAGATGCTATGCCCTGATTTCCCCTTTGATTTGTAGGGTCACTTTACCCCATCTTTCTGAAGTGGGGCAGCCCTAAACCCTAAACCCTAAACCCTAAACCCTAAACCCTAAACCCTAAACCCTAAACAAGCTTTGGTAGAAGTTTGTTTGGGTGCAGGCCCGCGTCGAGGCGCTCTCTCTCTCTCGCTCTCTCTCTCTCTGGCTCGCTCCTTTCACAGTGAAGGAGTTTGGCAGTTACCTCCATCCTGCAATAATAAACCCTAAGGGTCCATGTACCTATATAGTATATACTTGGGCCTTAAAGGGGTTCCCATATAGTAGCTTTAGGGCCCACATACATACTATATGGGTACATGGACCCTTAGGGAAATAGTCATGAAGCACCCATCATCATAACCAGCATCAAAACGATACTGACAATCGTATAAAATTGACAGTCATCATTTTTCAGAGAAGTGATATGGAAAGTTCTCAAGTTATCAAGTTCAGGGTCCCTGTACACCCTGAAATAGAGTACATCGTCTTAGCAGATACCCATCACCCTAAGGGTCCATGTACCCATATAGTATGTATTTGGGCCCTAAAGCTACTATATGGGAACCCCTTTACTAGATCAGTGTTAGGGATCCTTTTTACTTTTTGGGTTATGGGCTTTCTTATATATAAACAAAAAGGATCCTTTTTTCTTCCTAGGGGAACAGGGATTAAGTTTAAGGCCCAAGTATATACTAAATAGGTACATGGACCCTTAGGGTTGACAAAAGCTCCACAGTTTCGGAGTCGGGGCTCAGGAAGAATCCCTCTGAAACCATAATCATCCTGTTTCGCTGATACGGGATCTCCCAAACTGAAGCTTTTCTGGGGTTTAGGGTTTAGGGTTTAGGGTTTAGGGCTCAGGGTATACCTGAGACCCAGGGACTCCGCCGACAAACCTCAGAAAGCACATGATCTGGGAAGGGACCTTACTGTATCCTGGAAGTTCGAGATGAATTGCAGAGGATCTATCCACCCTCAGAAACCGACGCAAGGACGACATCACCATGGGCGAGCGCGCGGCAAGCCGCACCAATAAGGTGCTGAACAAGCGCCACGGCCGAAGTTGCACCGGCTGTTGGCCTGGAGGGGGGCCCAGCTTGGAGTTCTTACTCCTGGGTTTTGGAGTACTCTACTTTTCTACTTTTTGTTGGTTCTGGGTTCCTTTATAGCTACTTCTACCTCAAAAGTATATACTTTTTGTTCAAGGGTCTACTGCACAGTCGGGTACCCCACACCACAGGATCTCCGGCATGTACGTCAGCAAGACCATCGGCTACAGCAAGGACTACGCCGACAACTTCCAGCGGGTGTCTTTGCTTACTTTGTTGGGTGAACCCAGACTCAGGCTTTGAAATGTTGCAGCACAGCCTTCGAACTTAGCACCCCAAGCCAGAAGCCTCGAAGTGCTTCTGAGAGGGGAGAAGGAGATGGAGAGGGAAATAACAAACAACAACAGAAGCCCCCTTGAACCCTCTTAAGCCCCAGGTCTTTGGAAAATCCGGTCCCACGGAAGAAGCCGGTGACGAAGGCCTCCGAGCTAAATTAGGTCCTCCTTCAACTCGTCAAGCAAATTGTAACCCTATCCGAAGAGCCCTATAAATCCCATCGTGAATTTCAACTGCAATGTGGCGATTCATTTCACAGAACTTCTGCGTTCTTTCTGGATGCAGAGAATATTTCGGGGAGCAAGAGGAATCAGCGGTAGGTTAGCACATATGTTACATTTCCATAACTCTTGATCCCTATATCATCCTGATAAAGCCATAGAAGTTTGATTAAACCCTAAACCCTAAACCCTAAACCCAAAAACCCACAGGAACGGGGAAGGCTGAATTAGATGCAATGCTATGCTGGCTTGAGCGTCCCACTTCCTGAAGGTTGAAGCGTCATTCTGCGCTGCAGGGTCTAAAGGGTTTAGGGTTTAGGGTTTAGGGTTCCCCTATGCCCTTTGTAGCCCTCGCCATCCCCCCTTGTGCACCCTAGAAATCCCCCATTTTTTCTACACAACAATGACAGTCGGTGCCCTTGCAAAGTGGCCTCAGAGTCGGCTCGGCGGGCGGCAAACAAAAGCACCCCAAAGCCCCCTAACCCCCCCCAAAACCCCCTGAACCCCCTCAAAACCCCCAAAAACCCGCTAACCCCCCAAAACCTTACAGGTACCCAGGTGGCCAACCTTCGCTCGGTGGACTTCCCCCAGGGGCCGCTGGGTCTTGAGATCGAGTGGACGGCGCCGCCGGCCACTGGGCAGATGTAGGGTCAAGTTTAGGGTTTAGGGTTTAGGGTTTAGGGTTTAGGGTTATAATTACTACTAGTACTCCCTTATTGGCCCCATTTGTATTGTACTAGAATTGCCTCCGAAAACCCTACTGTAATGGTTAAGGCCCCATTCGTAAGGATGAGAAAAAGGGGCTTACAAGCGCTTACAGGGTTTAAAAGGGTTTAAGTGCTTTAGGTTTTGAAGGGTTTTGAAGGTCTATAGGGCTTTAAGGGTTTAAAGGGTTTTAAGGGTGCAAAGGGCTTTAAGGGCTTTAAGGGTTTAATGGGTTTAAAGGAGGTAGGGTTTCAAGGGTTCAAAGGGTTTAGGGGTTTTGGGTTTGTTCCGGCTGCAACCTGCGGCAGCAGGATTCAGGTTCGGTCTAGGTATTTGGAGCCCTAAACCCTAAGCCCTAAACCCTAAACCCTAAACCCTAAACCCTAAACCCTAAACCCTAAACCCTAAACCCTAAACCCTAAACCCTAAACCCTAAACGTTTTCGGGCAAGTTTTGGAGTCGAGGGTCTCAGGTTTATATAAGTCATTGACCCCGCATGTCGGGAAGCCTCACCGGTTCTCTTCCTTGTTGAGGGTTTAGGGTTTAGGGTTTAGGGTTTAGGGTTTAGGGTTTAGTTGGGTTGCTGGTCAGGAGCTTGAGTTCGCAGGAAAGCACAAGGAGTCCTGAATGGGATTATAGTCCCCCCTTGTTATAATCCCTGTTAAGGACTGTCTGTTCGTGTCAGGGGGAACAGGGCTTTAGAGTTCTTGAAAAACGTTCTGGCGATGTTCGGGTTTAGACTTCCACTTCGTCCCCTACGTTGCTAGGGTTTTTTTGGCTAAGCCCTCACCCCCAAAGACCCTAAACCCTAAACCCTAAACCCTAAACCCTAAGCCCTAAACCCTAAACCCTAAACCCTAACCCCACAAACCCCCAAGCAGGCACTCTCTTTTGCCGCCGAGGTGGTGGTGTCTGTCGACCCAGAAGGGGCTGCCCAAGCCGCCACGCTGCGAGAGGGTCAGGCGCGGTGTAGGGTTTGGGAAGTGACTTGGGTTTAGGGTTTAGGGTCTGGGGTTGAGGGTCTAGGGTCTACGGTCTAGGGTCTAGGGTTTTAGGTTTTGGGTTTTGGGTTTTGGGCAGGATATGGTTTAGGGTCCTAACCCGAAGCCCTGAACCTTGAGGGTATAGGGTTTTGGAAGCCTGGTTTTAGGGGGCCTGGGCTACCGTGAGGATTTGGGTGTCGAAACGGGTTTAAGGCCGGCGCAGCGCCCCTTAGTTGGGGTTTTTGGCCCGAAGTTTGTGGCTCGAGGGTGGGGATTGGTGAAAGCCAAGTCCGACAACGGCCCAAAGTCATGCAGCATCGCGCGGCCCTCACGGGCTTAGGGCTTAAGGGATAAAGGCCCTGAGAGCAAACCCCTCAACGATACCAAAAAGGTGCTACTCGAGATCAACGGCCGGGACGTCACCGCTTCTCAGCCGTTACCTGCTCGGGCCGTGTGCTCGTTGTGTATGATTCTGTGGAAGCACACTTATAACTTAACAACTGATGCGCTTCCGCATTACATGTTTCTACTTGTTTATGTGCTCACACACACAAAGCCCTGAAACCCTAAATTTTGGGTTTTAGGGTTTAGAGTCTTGGTGCCTGAGAGAGGGGGGAGGGAGGGAGGGAGGGAGAGGGAGAGAGAGAGAGCGACAGAGAGAGAGAGAGAGAGATCGAGTGAGTTTTGGGGTGTAGGTTTATAGGGTTTAGGGTACAGGCTGAACCCTATTGAAGGCCTTAAGCCCCAAATAAGGCTTAAAGCCTAGCATCTCCTGAAAATTCTGGAGCAACGCTTAAATCAATAAAATGGAGGGGTGGGGGGGGAGGGTACGGGGGGGGGGGGGGGGGGCAGGGGGGGACAGGAAAGAGGGGGGGACAGGGGGGGTTGGGGGGACAGGGGGGGTTGGCGCATGTATCCAGTTCGAGTTTCTGGGAAGTTCTGCGCAGACCCTGAGCCTGAAACCCAGCACCCTAAAAGCCCTAAAGCCCCAAGCCTTGAACCCGACAGGTGGCCAAAAACAAACGAAAAGCCTCACATCCTAAACACTCAACTCCGAACTCTAAATCCAACCCCAAACCCGAAACCCGCATCCTAAACCCTCAACCCCAAACCTAAGCCCTCAACCCAAACCTTAGACCCCAAAGCCTCAACCCTAAACCCTAAACCTCAAACCCTCAATCCTAAACCCCAAAGCCCCAACCCTAAACCTAAACCCTCAACCCTAAACCCCTCACTCATGATCTCAGGAATCCCTCCCCGAGTTCGAGATCGAGCACCTTATGCAGCAGAGACCGTCACTTGCAGAAGTCAGTTGGTGAGAGGGTTTAGGGCTTGGGTTTAGGGTTTAGGGTTTAAGGTTTTGGGTTTTGGGTTTAGGGTTCAGGGTTTAGGGTTTAGGGTGTAGGGTTTAGGGGTTAGGGGTTAGGGGTTAGGGGTTTAGGGTTTGGGGTTTAGGGTTTAGGGTTTAGGGTTAGGGCACAAGCCATTAAAGATTCTCATTCCATTTTGGGGGTTTGGGGTTAGAGGTTTAGGTTGTTGGGGTCTTGGGTTGCTCAGACACCTCGCAAGCACAAGGCGTCACGAGACCATCACGCAAGAGACACGCGCCCCTACACTGGCCCTACATTACCCCATGGCAATAGACCCTTGCCCGATGTGTTTTTTTTGGCTGGGTTTACGGGGTTAGGTTTTTGCATTTACCGTAGGGCTTAGTTCGGGCTTCAAGTCAGGGCGTTCAAGGCCTCACACGGACCAAGAGTTCCAAAAAATGACCATACGAAATCCAGCAGATAGCGCTACTGTCGGGTGCTGCGGTTGGGAGCACTTAGGCTGAACATGCAGATTGGCGATGCTGCCAAGGCACTCGCTTTATGAATGGCTCAGCCCAAAACCTGAAACAGACCCGACAAACCCCACACCCTAACCACAAAACCCCCCCGAACCCTATCCCCTCCAGAGCAGGGTCTTGTCTAGTTAGGAAAGTATGAGACCGTGATGTCTGTTTTCCAAGTACGTACCCAGGCAGTCCAGTACCCTCCCCATGCAGGGATCGTAGCTTTGTTTCTATCTAGGTTACCTTCCTTAATTCACGGGAAATGGGCCCTCGGCACATGATTCTGAAGCGCGTGTTTTTCAGGAGGTTCTTTCCTTTGATGCCCCTTCCCTGCCCAACTCTCAGTACAGGTATCGCTAGGACTCAGAGTAGGCCCTTGTTGCCTTTTTTTTAGGGTTTAAGGCTTCCCTACAAGGCCCCTGTAAACCACAAATGGCACCCTTTTTATTCCTGGGTTCTTGTCACGTGAAGCTCGTTTCCGGAGGAGTGGGATTTTCAGGTTCGCAGGTTTCTTTGGACCGTCTCGTCTGAATACCAGATGGGCAGTTTGCTGGCAGCCAACAAGTCTGGTTTCGCAAGGGTTTACGTTGTACTTTCCATGTTCGAGACACGTTGCTGCGCTCGATGTCGAGAAGCGCTTCGTCCCTAACTATCTAGCGTCGTTTGAGCCCCTTTTCTGGAGGACCTCCATCAGCGTAAAATCCAAATTGTTTAGGGCCACCCAAATCTTGTTCATAGCATACAACCCTGAAGTCTAAAGCCCCCAGCCTTAAAACTCAGACTCTCCGAACCTGGCCCTAAATTGAATCAGCCCCCTCACCCACCCTTTGCCATCCCCGGCTTGATGCTGGGACCATTTCATACATACATGGTGTTTGATGTACGGAAAAAGCCCATGGAGCTCCATGTGCCTTCTATGTTGGGGCTTTTGCCCCAAAGATCGGGGGTTATAAGCTACTCACAGGTACACCCCACACCCGAAGCCCTAAATCCTGAATCTGCAGCCCTAAACTTTGAACCTAAACCCCGTTCTAACCCGCATAAGAAGTATAAAGCGCAGGCACCCACCCCCAGCCGCTGGGATGGAGTGCGGCAGCAGGGTCTACTCCAGGCTCGATTCACTAACAGGGTTTAGGGTGGTAGGGTTTAGGGTTTAAGGATATTTACCCTCATTGCCTAAACCCTAAACCCTAAACCCGGTTTAAGAGGGTCATATGCAGGAAGATTCTCAGGGGTTTAGTGGGTTAAGAGTGGTGAGCTCAAGGTTCAAACGTGGTTCTGGGCCCAGGATTGCAGGAAGCCTGGGTTTAGGGTTCAGGGTTTAGGGTTTAGGGGTTAGGGTTTAGGGTTTAGGGTTTAGGGTTTAGGGTTTAGGGTTTAGGGTTTAGGGTGCTCAACATGCAAACATGTTAACATGTTGGGAACCCTCGCCATGAACAATGAGGCGCTAGATGCCTGGACCCTCGAACGTAGCCACCAAGCCCCAAGACCCCCAAACCCCTCTCAATTGGATTATATTGATCATTTGCCGGTATACAATCCATTGCTATGGGCCCTTAGAGGGCTGAGGTGTGCAATTCATACCTACTTTTCCGGGGCGGACCAAATGAACCCTAATCAGGATTTTTGGTTCATATACCTTAGTAGGACTTTTTGTGGTGTAGGGTATTTGACCCCAACAAAGGTTCACACACCTGAATAGGACTTATAAGAGTAACCCTAAACACTCCTAAACTCTAAACCCTAAAACCTCAAGCGCAGGCTAGTGCCCACCTTGTCCGAGTCATGCGAACATTGTGATTGCAAACATAGGCTTTGAACTCCCTTACCTCACTGGGGTTAGGGTTTATGGTTTAAGGTTTAAGGTTAGGGTTTAGAGGGTTTCGGGTTTAGGGTGAGGAGCGGGGGGGGGGGGGGGGAGGATTCTCTGCAGCCTGGGGCTTTGGAGTTTTATGAAGCTGCAAGGCTTTTCACTTAAGGTTTCTTCAGGGTCTTATGGGTTTCGAAGGCTTTTCGTTTCTTAAAATTCATTGGTTGCTTAGAGGGCATCCCAGTCAAGGACTGCTAGTATGAGGGGGGACATGCCTAAACCCCAAACCCGAAACCCTGTTAAGGATTGCTAGTATAAGGGGGAACACCCCAACACCTACCTTCACAAAAATGTGCAATGTACCATAAATGCCAATTAAGGACTGTTAGTATGAGGCCCAGAACACAAAAGGACCCCCATAAGGTCCCCCTATTTTCGTGAACCCCATATGAAACAGTAACCCTAAACCCTAAACCCTAAACCCTAAACCCCCATCCCCATGGGGAATATCCCAAGGCATCATGTTTCGTAGAACCCTGGGATGCGCAGGTCTCCGGAGTGCTGTCAGGTGCGACTTGCCAGGAGCTCTTGGTCTTTGTGCTGCTTGGTGGCCGTTTAGGGTTTAGGGTTTAGGGTTTAGGGTTTAGGGTTTAGGGTTTAGGGTTTAGGGTTTAGGGTTTAGGGTTTAGGGCATAGGGCTTAGGGTTTTGGGTTTTGGGTTTTGGGTTTCGGGTTATTGTAAACGCATTAAGCAAAATACAAGCTCCCCGTTTGTTCCGAAGGGAGCGTCATCGCTTCGAAATTTATGCCTGTATCCCACTCCCAACCGTCCCAACCGCCCTTGCACAACCCCCCACACCCCTCCACAGTTAGTATAGGGCATGCCCGTTTTGGGTTATTACATCAGCCCCAGGTTACTGGACAAGGGCTTTCTAGCCCGATAGGAGTAGAACTCCAGTATGCATATTTATGTGTCTGTGCAAAACAGGACTGTCACATTCTCTCTCTCTCTCTCTCTCTCTCTCTCTCTCTCTCTCTCTCTCTCTCTCTCTTTAGATGTACACGTTTGACAGTTTGTTATGCGCACATAGCCCGAAACTACTCCAGGTAAGCGCGGCAGCCATGAAACATCAGCCCTATAGATCGCCCTAAACCCGCCCGCCACCCCACAATCGTTAGTGTATTTTTTTACCCCTAAACCCCACACTGTCCGCGCAGATTGTTGGAGGCCCCCTGGGCCCCTGGAGACCCCTGGGTCCCTCACCCCCGTCAGCTGCAGGAATTGTTGGGGCAGGCAGGGCTGTGGCAAAATGGTGTGGCACTGGCCCTGGCCCCCCTGGCGCTGACCCTGGCTTGGCCCGGCCCTGGCCCTGGCCCTCGCCCTGGCTGGCTGTCCCCTTGCCCCTCCTGGCCCTGGCTTTGCTGGCCTTTGCCTCTGCACAGGCCTAGGGCAGGCAGGGCTCTGGCAAAAAAATGCTCCGGCCCTACCCCTGACTCCCTGCTGGCCCTGGCCCTGGCCCTGACCCCTCTGGCCCCCTAGCCTTGGCATTGGCCCTGGCCTTGGCCCTTGGCTTTGCTGGTCTCTTCGCGCCAACCCATGCCCTGACCCTGCCTCCCTGGCTCTAGCCCCTTCGCCCCAACCTAGGCTGTCTTCGCTGACCCTGCCTCGACTTTCTGTCTGCGCATCGCAAATGCCCTGGTCCACGCACCTTGTGGAGGTCCCCAAAAGGGCGTGAGTGCTGACTCATGTGATGCTTCGTAAAAAAAATAAAAGGTCTTAACTCCTTGAGAGTTGTAAGTGGGCGGTCTTGGGGTGGGTAGGTCTGCAGACTACCGCGCGCTCCCAAAGCACGCTTCCGTTTGCCACGCCCTAAACCCTAAACCCTAAACCCTAAACCCTAAACCCTAAACCCCAAACCCTAAACCCTAAACCCTAAACCCCCTTTTGCCCTCGCGGCTGAGAGCGGCCAAGGAACAGCGAGGTCAAGCGGAGTATGGCAGCCTCCGACGGCAGTGTGGCTGGCCCGGAGCTTAGAACGAGTTTGTAGGGTTTAGGGTTTATTTAGGGCGTGTTGATCAGGTAACCTTTTAATAGGATGCCCCGATTTTATAGGGCGAAAGGAGTCTATATCAAACCCTTGAAACAAAGAAACGGCACCCCTCCTTGCGTTCTTAGCCCTAAACCCTAAACCCTAAACCCTAAACCCTAAACCCTAAACTGTTTGATTGATAACACAGGTTTAACCTCCTTGAACCTCTCCATCCACTTCCGTGCTGCGCCGATGCTGTGTAGGCATCAGAAAAACCTCCTTGCGTAATGTACGTCCCCTTTCAGACCCCGAAGGTTTTCAGGACGGGCTATTATACCCTATAACCCCTTAAAAAGGCCCTTTATAGGGTTGATTATGGGGAGTATATAGGGCCTAATAGCCCGTCCTGGTTAGGGCTTATGGAACAAGGACGTGTTGGGGATCTCAGCAGTCGAGGAGTCACAGCGACAAGCCTGTTGCACAAGTCTTATAGGGTAGTGTTGAAAGTCCCCACCCCATTTCTGGCAGGTCAACGACTTCCGATCTCGAGGATGTGTCGGCTCAGCAGTGGCAACGACATGTCTTCTAAGGGTCATTTCTCCGCATCATGTTAAGTCATGATCTCTTGGCATGCTGAAGCATGTGTTTAAGCTAGGCATAACAAACCTTGCCTTTACACGTTTTGCTTTCGCCCGAAGAGTGAAAAAGTAGGGTGAGCGCTCCTGGTTGATGGACCCCCTTGGTTGTCAGAGTCTGGTCGGGACTTCGTGCACAAGGAGGTGAACACTTTGGAGGCAGGCCACGTTTTCTTTACTCTGGGTGATTGGTTTCCTCGACTACCTCAACCCGTCTAATTTCTACAGGTTATGATGGCCCAAACGGCCGAGCCGCAAGACCCGACAACTTCGGCGAGACCACTGCTGAATGGCCAAGGCCACCGGCCAAGATCGTCGGAGCCCGACACCAGGGATGGCTACGGGAGCATCGTACAGACCAGTGAGACTGGCCATGGAGATACAGAGCATGGTGAGTTGGAGGCCTATGGTGCCACGCGCGAAGGTGGTGCAGAGCATGGGGCCATGGACTCACAAGCCAACGAACAACCGGACCGGACGCTGGGATCGGACAACGCGTTACGAACCGAGCAACCGGACACAGCACGCGAGACTGGTGGAAACGCTGTTGCAACTACGACTGGGAGAGTTTCTGGCCGTGGCGTAACCGGTTTCCTCTGGGAGACGGTGCAGACGTTTACAGGTGTCAGACAGGAGCCTGTGTCCTCAGGTTCTTCTGGGCCCGAAGCCTACTACAGCGTGGGCACTGCGAGCATGGGAGAGGAGACTTTTCCTCTGTTGGCAGAAGGGACCCAAGGAAGTGGTGATGGAGGCGCAGACTGCCCGACAGGACCGCTGTTTACTGAGCCGATGATGGAGCAGTTGGAAGCAATGGAGGCCGCAGCGCCGCTGTTGTACGGGAGCCAGACACCGCAGGACTGGACTCCCCCGCCACCGCCGAGATCTGAGGCATCAGCCAGCTCTGGAGCCATTCAGGCTGAGGTGCATCGCCAGCTTGAGGCGCTGAGGCGTGAGCACCAAGGGCAGCTGCAGTACCTAGCTAGGGAGAACGAAGCCCTGAGGAGTAGACTGGTAGGTAGGGAGTCTAGGGGGCCCGGGGACTGGAGTGGTACGGCTAGTAAGGTGTTGGATTGGTTCGGGTGGTCTAACCCTAACAACCCTCGTGTCTCGCGTTCCCCTCGTCGTGCCCAGGTTTCAGGCCAGGTCTCCACCTTGCAACAGGTGCCTCAGGTCCCAGGTTCGCAGCAGGTGCCTCAGGTCCCAGGTTTGCAGCAGGTGCCTCAGGTCCCAGGTTCGCAGCAGGTGCCTCAGGTCCCAGGTTTGCAGCAGATGCCTCAGGTCCCAGGTTTGCAACAGGTGCCTCAGGTCCCAGGTTTGCAGCAGGTGCCTCAGGTCCCAGGTTTGCATCAGGTGCCGCAGGTCCCAGGTTCGCAGCAGGTGCCTCAGGTCCCAGGTTCGCAGCAGGTGCCTCAGGTCCCAGGTTTGCAGCAGGTGCCTCAGGTCCCAGGTTTGCAACAGGTGCCTCAGGTCCCAGGTTTGCAGCAGGTGCCTCAGGTCCCAAGTTCGCATCAGGTGCCACAGGTCCCAGGTTTGCAACAGGTGCCACAGGTCCCAGGTTTGCCGCAGGTTGCAGATCAGGTACAGACCTCCAATCAAGGCCATACACCACCCTTCTGGACGGGGTACTTGACTCCCTGGACCAGGAATCCATCTCCAACGCCAGGTCAACCCTCTGAGGGCCCTAGTCCGGGACCAACTGCCGATGCCATCCTCGCAGGGCTGCAGGCCCTACTCGGGGGGCAGACAACCGCTGGAGGGGAATCTTCAGTGGAGCAAGTTAAGTACAGCTGGAGCGAGTTCCCCAAGCTTGCGGAGCCCGGAGCTGACTCCTCCTTGGTCTTTACAGACTGGCTCCACTCTATCTCCCCTTGCATTGAAGACATGTCGCCCACCTCAGCAGACCTGTGGGGCCACCTGCAAGCAGAGGCCAGCAGCTGGTATGCCAGTTACATGGGAGCCGACCCCATTGCTCGTTTGCTTCTGGTACCCTCGCCCAGCCAACACCTCACTTGCGCACGGTGGAGTCGAGTGTCCAAGCGGCTCGAAGCATTGTTCCTAGGTGCCTGCCCCAAGTCAGTCCGAGAGGAGCTGGTTGCTAGCCGGATTCGATCCCCGCTGGCGATCTTGTGCCGTCTTCATGTTCTGTATGCTCCTGGTGGAGTCCAGGAGCGAGAGATGGCCTTGCAGCAGCTCCAGCAGCCTTCGCCTGGACCCAATCCCCAAACTGCTTTGGAGAGCCTTCGCAGGTGGAAACGCTGGCTAACTAGGGTTGAAACCCTAGGTGGGGGGGTGCCCGATCCTCTCATCCTAGCAAAGGCCCTAGGGGTGATCGTTAAGCCGGTCTTGGAAGCAAGCCCTGAAGTCCTGTTCCGGATAAACCTGGTGAGGGCTACCTTGAAGGTCGAAGCTGCGCCCACCTTAAGCGTAGTGATGTCGTACCATGCTGCCCTGACCGCCGAGCTTGAAACACTGGCTCGGACCAAGCTCAAGCAAGGATCGACACCGTCTGCCCAGGCAGTGACTGGCCCAGATCCACCCGAACAGAATAAGGGTAAGGGAAACGGTAAGGGAGGAGCAAGTTCGAAGGTCATTGGCAAGGGTGAAGGGGCATCCGTCCCAGTTCGTCAAGGGGCGTGTAAGTTCTTTGTGCAGGGAACAGGATGTAACAAGGGGGATAAGTGCTCGCATGCGCATACCTGGACCGACATCCCTTCCCACCTCCGCAAGGGAAGATGCATGGCCTGTGGGGGGACTGGACACATGAAGTCCGCTTGCCCAAAGGTTGCCACTCCTGGAACTCCGAACCCTAAGCCTAAACCAAACCCTAAGGCTAAGCCTCCTGTCGGAACTGAAGCCCCCCATTCCCCGCACAACAAGGTGAATGCCCTACTGGATGATGCGGCTAAGGTTCTGCAAGCCTTCCACGTGAACGGGGTGTCCGAATCCCCGCCTTCTCCGCCACCGGCCGCAGCCAAACCCACCGGGGCTTCCAGCTCTGCGCAGACCGTCGTTCCAGGCACTCCGGTCACTGTCGCTGCCCTACAGTCGCAGCTCGATGCCCTTCGAAAGGCTGTCCCGGATGCCAAACCTTCAGTGCAAGCAGTGTCAGGTAGTGTTCATGCTGCTAGCCTAGGGGGTCCTGGATGGAATCCCTCGTCACCTGAGCCGAACCATCCGGAGCCAATGGCTCTAATCGACAGCGGGGCCACCCATCCTGTTCGTGCTCTACAGCCAGAGGACGCTGAAAGAGGGGTTACGTACATAGAGGTTGGACTAGCCGGGGGTGCTTCTAAGATCATGCCACAAACCGCAGCCGGAACGCTCCTGACCGAGGAAAAGAGCCACTCTCAAGCTATAGTCCCCGCCGGGGCTCTCGTGGAGCAATTGGGGTGTAGCATCTCCTGGAAAAGGGGGAAGATCGTGGTGACTCATCCCATGTATGGACGACTCCAAGTCCGAATCCGGAATGGATGCCCGGTTCTAGCGGAAACTGAGGCACTACGCCTGATTGAAGAGTTGGAGATGAAGCGACTCCAGGAGCTTGAAAATCAGGTTGAAGACCTCCAAGCTACCCTAACCTCCTTAAGCAGCCCTAAGCCCTTTGCACAGGTTGTAGCCCAGGCCCGTGCAACCGGGAGCCGCCTCGACCTGCTCCAAGCAGCCGCAAGTGTGCCCTTCTACTCTCCTGAGGATAGGGTTCACCTTGGGACCCAGACTCCTACCACCGAAAGGGAAGCCTGGAAGGTTCTAAAGGGATTGCCCCTGCCGAGGCGTACTCGAAGAAGCCTCCTGGGTTCTGCTGACTGGGTCTTGAGGTTTGTGCATGGCAAGCATAGTCTACACGATGAGGACCAAACCCTACTCAGCCGGGGGTTCCAAGTGGTCACCGTAGATCTGGAGAAACCCAAGCAATGGTCACTGCAGTTAGGGTCCCCGGGGCACACTGCCCTCGTGTGGGCTGCGCTCCAAGGCCGCCTTGCAGGTATTCAAGCCACTCCAGGGTCCCAGTCCCACGTTGTTGCACTCGTGACTTGGCTATGGACTTTGAGCACCGCTATGCGAGGTTACACCGTCCCTTTAACCGCCGCCTTTCGGTCAAGCCAGACTCCTGAGAGTCCATTGTGGAAGGGCTTTGAGACGTGGGCCGGACTGCCGCCTGTGGTTAAGAGTCGAGGGAACGAGGAGGTGTGGTTGAGCACCAACTGCAGAACCGAGGAGATGTGCGCGTCCGTCACCTGGAGCAATCTCCTGCAGAACATGGTGAAGGCCATGCTACCGTCGCCTGCGAACCCGTGTGCAGCTGCCATTGAAGCCCTGGATCGAGAAATTGAAGAGGGCCTGGAACGAGATGGCATCTCCATGCAGGAGCCCTTGGACCCTAAGGAACGGGGCTGGTGGAACCACATCCGACAGGGGCACTTGCCCTACCGGCGTGACTGCAGGGCATGTGTGTACGGAAGCGCCGTAGGTCTGCAACACCGCCGGGTACCTTACCCGGCCTCATTTTCCCTGTCCTGTGACTTGCTCGGTCCTCTGCCGGAGAAGGGCTTGTCTGAGGAGAGTGTGGCCGGAAAGGCCAGACACGCCTATGCCTTGGTGGGTGCGTTTCGGGTTCCCACAGAGTTGCTGGACAAGAACGGCTGGGGGAATGTCGAAGCAAGTCTTCGGGATCTTTTCGACAAGGATCTTCTGGAGGAGATGAGAAAAGAGGGAGGCAAGGACCTTGGAGTCCCGAAGGTCCCACTCCCTCGGCCTGATGAGAAGGATCACAGTCCACATCCTTCCACTAGCAATCACGATCCACTCGAGAAGGGTCCCAGCTTACGTCCTTCCACTTGCAGTCCCGATCCACTCGAGAAGGATCCCAGCTTACATCCATCCACTCGCAGTCCTGATCCACTCGAGAAGGTCCCTCAAGCTAGCGTCCCTGAACACTCACACTTGGCCTCCGACGACCCTGCCTGGGAGCGGGTTCATACAGGAGATGAGTCCGAAGACCTAGTCAGCTGTGAGGTTGAAGCCCAGGAGCTAGAGGAGGACGACCGGTATGATCTCCAAGCCTTCAGGCAAACCATAGCCTTCTTGCAGGAGCCAGTGCCTCAGACAGTACTTCGCTTTGCTAGGCCAATCCCCTCCAAGAAGGCCACTGCGATAATCCCCGCTCTTCACTCCATCGTCGGCGAAATACAACAGCTGGGATTTCCGGTACGTTCCCTACACACAGACCAAGGCAGGGAATTCCTCAGTGATGGAGTAAAGAACTTCTGCAGCAATCATGGAATCTCCGTGAGAATGTCTGAACCTCACGATAAAAGGGCCAACGGACTCGCTGAGAGGATCGTGGGATGGGCCAAACAAAGGACGAGATGTCTTCTCACCGCAGCCCGCCTGGATCGCAAGTTCTGGCCTCTTGCCATGAGCTATGCCACTGCGACGCACCTGAGCATGTCCACCGGCAAGCGTCTCCCTGCCTACTTTGGTCAACAAGTGACATACAAGCGACCGGTGTTGCCGGGACACCTGAAGCCGTGGGAACCGTGGGCGGATGGGAGATACATGTGCCCGTCACAGGTCGTAGTTGATGGTCATGTGGTTCTAAAGGGGGATGGTAACCTAATAGTGGTTAAGAACGTAAGGTCTGACCTTGTGGATGCCGAGCAACACCTCGGGGATCGCCTCCCTGCTGTCGTTGCTGATGGAATTGAGTCCCACCCGCCTGCCTCCAGCGTGAGCTACGACCCGGAGCGAGACCTGCCTGAGGCCGATAGGTTCCCCCACAAGAAAGGCCCACTACAGTCAGAAGCAGCTCCTAGTACCTTTGCCGCCCCTGCCTTCAGAGTTACTAGGAAGACTCCAGGAGTTCCGGCATCCGCGGCTCCCCTGCCTAAGCCTTCCCCTGCCAGGAGGAGGATTGTCAGGAAAACCGCGGTGCGAGCTGTTCGGCTTGAAGTTCGAGGGGAAGAGGAGGCGAGAAACCTTCTTGCTGAAGAGGACTTCCGGCCTGAAATCGCATGTGAACTTCTAGACCATGTTTTTGGATCCTGGAAGAAGCCTGGAACAGCCATCGGGAAGGGGAGGGGTGGTCATGCAGGATGCATCCTAGGAGCCTACGCTTATGGTAGCATTAAGAAGGGAATCACCAGTCTGGAGACCTCAGACGGTCCTGCCGACACTGCCACTTGGACGTCTCTCGTCGTCATCCAGTCAGACGAGGTCCCTCCACATAGGGATCTAAACAATGAGCAGGGGACACAGAACCACCTCTTGTGCCTCGACCACGTCCACCTTTGGACCGAGGGAACTGCGGAAAGCAACCCTGTAAAAGGGGGGGGTACCACCTTCGACTTGACGGTCTGCGACTCCACTGGCAGAGAGCACTCAGGTCGTGTAACCGAAGTCTCTAAGAAGCTGGTGACGTTTGACGCCCGCAAATGGCATTCCGTTGTCCGCACCAGGCGATGGATGCTTGCTGGTTACACGCCCCGGGGTTGGGACACCTCCCTTGCACCGCAGCTGCATGACTTAGGGTTTAGGGTTCCCCCTAGGCCCCAGGTTGCTATGCTTAGGCCCCAGAACCTTGCATCGTCCTCTTCCTCAAGCGGTAACGCACTCCAAGATGGGGAGAGCGACACCCTCGCCGGAGGTAGCCTGCCACCCGGAAGCTCCAGCGCGTCAGGCCAGGTCTCCTCACTTGACACTTCCACCCAAGAGACTCAAGGTTCACTGCCGAGCCACTTGGGTCACGTCGAAGATGAGGAGCTCATAAGGGTTTTAATGCACTTGGGGCAAAGGGAGAAGGTAGAAGCTTTGGGGAATTTGGGGATCGAAACCTTGGCCGACCTTGATCTTCTTTACCTTGAAGACCTTCTAGAGGCAGGATGGATCCAACAAGATGCTAGGGCTCTCCTGATGTCGACCGGAAGGCCAATCGGGTTGGGACCAAGGCCGATGGGTCCAAGCCCAATCAGACCCGCAGTCCTCACCAGTGTGGCCGCCTCCTCTGCGGCCTCACACCCTGAGCAGATTCCCGAAGCGCCAGGAGAGGCGGACAGCAGTTGTGGTGCGTCAGTGGGGTCTGGGCCCTGGCATGATCCTCGTGAGACCCCAGCTCTTGTTGAACTTATCCCGCAACGACTGTATGATGAGGGACAAGAGATGGGCCCTATATCCCCGGCATTGTATGCCGAACTGGTGCATGTGGGGAACGAAGCTGATCTGGTAGTACGGAAAAATGACGCATACTACGCAGAAGGAGCTTTTCAAGACGTCCTAAGGGGCTACAGGGTGGGGACAAATGGCCTGGATCCCATCGTAGGGGGGTTAATGTTGAGAGATTTGGCTCGGTATAGAAGGGAAACTTTCGGGTTGGAAGGGGAGACAGAAGAAGGCCCTTGCACCACAGATTCCTCACATACCTTGCCGGAAGTCCGTGCCCTCTCAACCCTTGCGCTCCAACGCCGCACCAGTCCTTCGCCCGATAGAGTGCCTGCAGTGCAGCTGAATCCTTCCATATTGCTGCGCCTGGAGGATGTTGAAGACAGTGTTGCTGTTTTCAATAGACCACTTGGCTCGGGGGGAAGCTCGCCTTTTAACGTGCCTGAGGAGGTGGAGCAACTTACGCAGCTGCTGAAGGTGGATCTGTATACCCAAGATGTCGAAGGGAAGCTTGAAGCACTCAACGGGGCCCCTCTTGAGACTACTTACAATGTCTCCCCTGCAGAGATTCGAAGGTTCGGTGATCGCTGGAAGGCTTCGATGGTGGCCGAATTCAACTCGCTGATAGAGAAGGGGGCAATAAAGAGAGTCTTTGGGGAGGAAGCTGCCAGGCTGAAGAGAGACCCTTCGTCAAAGGTACTGCATACCAAAACTGTGTGTGTTGCCAAGCCGGGGAAGGCGGGTGAACCGTTTCGTAGAAAAATCCGGATTGTGGCCTGCGGGTGCGAAAGTGAATACACGGATGAGTCGAACTTGTACGCCTCGGGAGTAGTCGCCGACTCGTTGAGGTCCAGCCTGGTCAAGGCTGCCACGGAGTCGTGGCCGGCTCATGCAACGGACATTCACACTGCCTTCTTGCTGGCGCCCCTTGGCCAGGCAGCTCACCAAAGACAGTACATCCTTCAGCCGGCGCAGGTCTTGGTTGACTTGGGCATCGCACAAGAGCATGAATGCTGGACCATAGACCGTGCAATTTATGGGCTCCGGGAATCACCGCGGTGGTGGACCGATTTTCGGAATCAGTCGCTCCTGAAGGAAACCATACGGTCCCTCAATCCGGAACCCACGGGCGATTTGCCATCTGGCGCCTCGACCCAGGAGGAGTACGATCTGCAGCAAGGGCTTGTCGACGACAATATCTTCAAGATCCGACGTCGTAGCGACAACAAGCATGTTGGACTATTAGTGTTGTACGTAGATGATTTCTTGATCCTGAGTGATACCCCTGTCGCGCAAGCCATTCACGCCCATTTGCAGAATGTCCTGAAGTGGGAATGCGACCCACTGTCGACCGCCACCCCTGATCGCCCCTTGCGATTCCTGGGGGTCAACATCCGACCTCTCCCAGATGATGGAGTAAATGGCCCAGGATTCTCTTTGGAACAAGAAGCCTACATCGAAGAAGTGCTGCGGGGTCATGGGTTTACTGGTCCGGGAAGCCGAGTTGCCTGCAGCAAGGAACTGCTGTGTGAAGCCTTTGAAGAAAACCCAAACCAGCAGGACATCCGGGAAGCCCAGAAGGCTACCGGAGAGGCCTTATGGGTCTCCCAGCGCTCGAGACCAGACATATCCTTTGTCGTGAATTACATGTCCTCCATGTCCACCAGAGCTCCTAAGCAAGTTCTGCTTGTAGCTGAGCGCCTTTTCCGATACCTGCATCAGACTAGGAACCACCGGCTTGAACTTCGAGCGACCACAGGGAGCGAAGACCTAATCGAGGTCTTTACGGATGCATCATTCGCACCGTATGGCTCAAGCAGCTATGGCGGAATCCTCATACGCCTCAACGGTGCTCCCTGCATGTGGCGAGCCGGTCGCCTTCCCCTGATCGCCGTGTCAACGGCGGAAGCCGAGCTCCAAGCACTCAGCGAAGGCGCCATCTTCGGGCAGTCATTCCAAGCAGCTCTCCAGGACATCACTGACCGACCAGCCGAGATTGTTCTGCGGTGCGACAGCACCGCCGCTATAGCCCTTGCCCAGGGAAGCTCAAGTCAGAGGACTCGACATCTGAAGGTGCGGGCAGCAGCCCTGTACCAGCAGTTACAGTCATCGATGATGAGGCTGGAGCATTGCCCAGGCGATACCCAACTTGCCGACTTATTCACAAAATCCCTTCCAGGTCCCCGCTTGAGCGAACTTGCTGGACTTGTGGGACTGGCCGAAGCAAGGACACCAGAGTCACCGGCATCGTCCCCGCAAGCCAATGCTGTTGCAAGCAGGTGCCTCCCTTCTGTTGAGGGTTGGATTAAGAGTTTGGTTGGTTGTCTCTGCATAGTTGGGGGGGGAGGTCAAGAGGCCAAGGGAAGTGAGGAGGAGCCCGTCGGGATTTCAGATGACACATATCTCTATGTGGCCTTGCTCATCTTCATCATAGCTGTACTTGGGGTTTGGGAGGGTTTAAAGGCCACCCGGGCCTGTTGCAGCAGACAAGGGGAGGATGGGCGACCACAATTGAGGGCCTTGTCCAAGAGGGAGAAGCTCCGGCAAGCCGTGTCTGAAGCGATTGAATGTGAGATCCCCTCCACTGTCACCTCGCCTTCCACACCTTCTACGGAAGGACTCCGGAGACGGAGGTCAAGTGAGTCCTCCTCACCTCCGTCGCCTGCCGCTCCCATTGCGCCGGAACCCGTGCGTGGCACCCTCCGTGAGGTTGCCTCCGGCTCGTCGTGCGTCCCTAACCCTAGAGGTAGTAGAGGTGCAGAGGTTACGAATCCAGTCCCCAACTCCTCAAATAGGGTGAATCAGGGAGTTCAGACAGACACTGTTCTGGTGTTTGGGCATGACGATAAGGTTTACTTGTCGAGTAGTGGGCGTGCCTTTCACGAGAACTCCCAGTGCCACGGAGGTCTCCCAAGGGGAACTTCCGTCGTATCGAAAACCGCTTGTGGTCATTGCCTCAACCGAAAGGGGCGAGGCCTCTGAGACCTGTTTGGTGGGACTCGCCTGACGACTCTCCCAAGGAGGAGTGTTGAAAGTCCCCACCCCATTTCTGGCAGGTCAACGACTTCCGATCTCGAGGATGTGTCGGCTCAGCAGTGGCAACGACATGTCTTCTAAGGGTCATTTCTCCGCATCATGTTAAGTCATGATCTCTTGGCATGCTGAAGCATGTGTTTAAGCTAGGCATAACAAACCTTGCCTTTACACGTTTTGCTTTCGCCCGAAGAGTGAAAAAGTAGGGTGAGCGCTCCTGGTTGATGGACCCCCTTGGTTGTCAGAGTCTGGTCGGGACTTCGTGCACAAGGAGGTGAACACTTTGGAGGCAGGCCACGTTTTCTTTACTCTGGGTGATTGGTTTCCTCGACTACCTCAACCCGTCTAATTTCTACAGGTAGGTACATGGTCCCTTAGCATGGACACTTGAAAAAGGGACCCTTTAGAACCCTAAACCCTAAACCCTTATTCAACCAAAAGGGCCCAGACATCAGAACCCTTAGATACCTTGTTCCCCCTCTTATAACTCGCGCCAGCTAGCGCCTTTGCAACCAATTCTCGCTGGGCTTCCTACAAGGGCAAATCCAAATTCTGGGCTTGTTTTGGAACCCCAAACCCTGAAACCCTGAAACCCTTAAACCCTTAATAACCCTTAAGCCCTTAAACCCTTAAACCCTGGAACCCTTAAGCCCTTAAACCCTTAAACCCTTAAACCCTGGAACCCTTAAGCCCTTAAGCCCTTAAGCCCTAAACCCTTAAACCCTAAACCCTCAAGGTCGGCCCAATGTGTGGTTTTTGCGTAATCCCCTCCCCCTTCCCCCAACCAATGTAGAAGTCCCGCCGAGCCCCTCTAATATTACTGATTAATGGTTTAGGCTTTAGGTTTTAGGGTACGAGACTTAGGAGCCCTAGACTGTCAGGCTCCTAACCTTGAATCCTGATCCCAAGTAGCCAGACTCAGGGTCTTTTCGGGTCCCTCCGTGTATCTCCTAGAAAGCAGCGGGTCGGGTGGGGTTGAGGCTGGGGATTTAGGATTGAAGGCTTGGGATCTAGGGCGACTCTTGAGAAGGAGGCGTGGTAGGATTGACTCAGCCGACGCCATAAGACCTCAATCGGGTACGTACCACTTTGGAATACAAGACCCTGTTAGTGCATGAAGTCGGGTGTGTTGAAAGACATACCAAGGTTGCGTATCTCAAGTCTCGCTACACACCGAGACTAGATACACAGTACCTATAGTTCCGCTAATCTCCATTTCCCTGAAGAGCTTGTAAGTGAACTGAAATTTCAATTCACTTTGGCGCGATTCTTCGTCGAGTCTGGTCGCTGCGGAAGCGCCAGCATGCAGCTGTTGACCCTCCACTGTCTTGCCGGCTCCACGTTTGAACTCCATGTGGACGATGCGGAAACGGGGCTGGATCTCCGGAGACGCATCGCAGGAAATCTTGGCCTTTCCGCAGCGTCAATCGTGCTGACTTCAGGTGGGCGTGTCCTTGAACTGCACAAGCCGCTGCTACAACAAACTCAAGACCAAGAGCTCACATATGTGGTGCGGAAATGTGGTGCAGGCTGCGCGGCAAGAAGTCTAAAGCGAGCATTAGCAAAAACTGAACTGAATCAAGACACGGATGCCATGGATGTCGTTGTTGCCTTGACGTTCGGCAGTAGCTTCAACCAGAGCTTGGCAGGGGTGCAGCTTCCCTGCGGCCTACAGACCTTGACGTTCGGCTATAATTTCAACCAGACCTTGGAAGGGGTGCAGCTTCCCAGCGGCCTACAGACCTTGAGCTTCGGCAATGATTTTAACCAGAGCTTGGAAGGGGTGCAGCTTCCCAGCGCCCAACAGACCTTGGAGTTCGGGTATGTCTTCAACCAGAGCTTGGCAGGGGTGCAGCTTCCCAGCGGCCTACAGACCTTGACCTTCGGCGACTTGTTCGACCAGAGCTTGGAAGGGGTGCAGCTTCCCAGCTGCCTACAGACCTTGACCTTCGGCCGCAGCTTCGACCAGAGCTTGGAAGGGGTGCAGCTTCCCAGCTGCCTACAGACCTTGACCTTCGGCGACTTGTTCGACCACAGCTTGGCAGTGGTGCAGTTTCCCAGCGGCCTGCAGACCTTGACTTTCGGCTATTATTTCAACCAGAGCTTGGAAGGGGTGCAGCTTCCCAGCGGCCTACAGACCTTGACCTTCGGCGACTTGTTCGACCACAGCTTGGCAGTGGTGCAGTTTCCCAGCGGCCTGCAGACCTTGACTTTCGGCTATTATTTCAACCAGAGCTTGGAAGGGGTGCAGCTTCCCAGCGGCCTACAGACCTTGGAGTTCGGCTATGCTTTCAACCAGAGCTTGGAAGGGGTGCAGTTTCCCAGCCCCCTGCAGAGCTTGAAGTTCGGCTATGATTTCGACCAGAGCTTGGAGGGGGTGCGACTTCCCAGCGGCCTTCACACCTTGACCTTCGGCGAGAGCTTCGACCAGAGCTTGAATGGGGTGCAGCTTCCCAGCGGCCTACAGACCTTGACCTTCGGCGGCTGCTTCGCCCAGAGATTGCAAGGGGTGCAGCTTCCCCGTGGCCTGCACACCTTGACCTTCGGCCATGATTTCAACCAGGGCTTGGAAGGGGTGCAGCTTCCGAGCGGCCTACAGACCCTGACCTTCGGCGACAGCTTCGACCAGAGCTTGGGAGGGGTGCAGTTTCCCAGCGGCATGCGGAGCTTGACCTTTGGCTTCAACTTCAACCAGAGCTTGGAAGGGGTGCAGCTTCCCTGCGGCCTGCGGACCTTGACCTTCGGCTTCAACTTCAACCAGACCTTGGAAGGGGTGCCGCTTCCCAGCGGCCTACAGACCTTGACCTTCGGCGACTTGTTCCACCAGAGCTTGGAAGGGGTGCAGCTTCCCAGCTGCCTACAGAGCTTGACCTTCGGCTACGATTTCAACCAGAGCTTGGAAGGGGTGCAGTTTCCCGGCAGTTTACAGACCTTGACCTTCGGCGCCTCGTTCAACCAGAGCTTGGACAGGGTGCAGCTTCCCAGCGGCCTACAGACCTTAACATTCGGCGACTTGTTTGACCAGAGGTTGGAAGGGGTGCAGCTTCCCAGCTGCCTACAGACCTTGACCTTCGGCTATGATTTCAACCGGAGCTTGGAAGGGGTGCAGCTTCCCAGCGGCCTACAAACCTTGAGCTTCGGCAATGATTTCAACCAGAGCTTGGAAGGGGTGCAGCTTCCCAGCTGCCTACAGACCTTGACCTTCGGCTGCAGCTTCGACCAGGGCTTGGAAGGGGTGCAGCTTCCCAGCTGCCTACAGAGCTTGACCTTCGGCTACCATTTCAACCAGAGCTTGGACGGGGTGCAGCTTCCCAGCTGCCTACACACACACACACACAGACACACACACACACACACACACACACACACACACACACACACGCACACACGCACACACGCACACACGCACACACGCACACACGCACACACGCACACACGCACACACGCACACACGCACACACGCACACACGCACACACGCACACACGCACACACGCACACACGCACACACGCAAACACGCACACACGCACACACGCACACACGCACACACGCACACACGCACACACGCACACACGCACACACGCACCCACGCACACACGCACACACGCACACACGCACACACGCACACACGCACACACGCACACACGCACACACGCACACACGCACACACACACACACACACACACACACACACACACACACACACACACACACACACACACACACACACACACACACACACACACACACACACGCACACACGCACACGTGTGTACACGCACACGCCCACGCACGCCCACGCACGCTCACGCACGCACGCGCACGCACACACGCACACGCCCACGCACGCCCACGCACACTCACGCACGCTCACGCACGCCCACCCAACGCACGCCGACGGCTCGCACGCGCGCACGCACTCGCACGCCGCGCCCGCACACGCGCGAACGCGCTCACTCGCGGCACGCCCACGCGCGCACGCTCACGCACACGCATATATGCGCACGCACTCGCACTCGCACGCGCACACGCACACAGCAGACGAACCCAAGTCGGCGGCATGGGAATGTATGTGTTCAATCAGGGGTTCTGAAATCTCTAAGAATGTTTGGATCCGGGGCTTCACGAACATTCAAGGAAGTTCTATGGGTCTTCCCACGAGATAAGAAATCTTCAACATACCCTTTGGGCAGAGGGCAAGGCCATTCCAGTTAGTCCCCTCCCCCCAATATTAAACCCCCCCCTACCCAAAATACTATATTTATAATAGGGGAGGGGAGTAGTCTTAAGGGCCAGAAGGCCCAATCTCCTCCAAGCAAAGAACACGCCTGCAGCCAGACAGGGATCCTTGTCAAGAAACATAAGAAACCCTTGGGCCACATGAACCTTAAAATTGGCGTCATACTACTATAATTCCTATTCAGGTCTGTGAACCACAAACCCTGTTGGGGTTCATTTGGTTCCCCAGGAATGAGGCATATTCCTGAATGAAGGGGTGTTGGGCTCTTCGGGTGAGTGCCTCGCCAGTTGACAATTTCGCAAGCCCGCCCCCCTGAACCCTAAGTTCCCTAAACCCTAAACCGTAAACCCTAAACCCGAAGCCCTAAACCCTAAACCCTAAACCCTAAACTACATTCCCTAACCCCTACACCTTGCCCCTTGTTGGAGCGTCTGTCAGGTCAGCGGCTTCAGCGCCTTCTGCCTATGGACCCAGTGGTCTACAAGGCTTGCTGGGTTTATAAGGTTTAGGGTTTAGGGTTTAGGATTTAGGGTTTAGGGTTTAGGATTTAGGGTTTAGGATTTAGGATGTAGGGTTTAGGGTTTAGGGTTTTGGGGTGTTTAGGGATTTGAGGTTTGGGTCTGCAGGGCTCGGCGGACTTGGTGGGTGGCTTGGAGGCGGCCCTCCAACACAGGGCTTATTTCCATGCAGGCCCCATGAGCCCTTTGTAAACACGCAACCTTGGGATGTTCCCCTTTATACGAACAGTCCTTAGGGTTTAGGGTTTAGGGTTTAGGGTTTAGGGTTTAGGGTTTAGGGTTTAGGGTTCTAGTACCCTCTATTATAATCCCTTAAGGACTGTTCGTAATAAGGGGGAACATCCCAAGGTTTGATACACGTCCCCCCTTCCTTGGTGCGACGTTGTCAAGCCCCATGGCAGCGCATGGGGTCAAGAATTGGGACGAGCATCGAAAACTTAGCGTTTCCCCCCCTTGCCATGGTACAGCCTTGGTTTAGGGTTTAGGGTTTAGGGATTAGGGTTTAGGGTTGATTTGCATCTGCTCAGCGGCAAGAAGGTTTCTCTTGAGACTCGGGAAGATGCATCTTCAGGATTTCTGGCAGGCTTGTAGATGAGAGCCGACACTCTCTAAGACTCTAAGAAGCGCGGCAAGCTAAAAGCGACGGAGGAACAGGTAAGCTTGCCCCCTAAACCCGAAACCCTCAAGCCCAAAGAACCTACACCCAAAAAGAATCTTGTAGTTTGCCCAGCAGCCCCTAAACCCTAAACCCTAAACCCTAAACCCTAAACCCTAAACCCTAAACCCTAAACCCTAAACCCTAAAGGCCCACAACCAAGAGGCCCTAAGCGGGCGACGGCACTCTGACAGCATGAGGCCTTCGAAGAGATGTTGAGATGGGACGGGCCAGAAGAGGCTGCGGACCCGAAACTTTAGGGTTTAGGGAATAGGGTTTAGGGTTTAGGGTTTCGGGTTTAGGGGGCCCTAAACCCTCAACCCCAAAGCCCTAAACCCTGAACTACTGCAGCATTTGCTTCAGAACCCCCCCCCCCCCCCCCCGCCACAAAGAAAACCAACATACTGAACCCCCCCCCCCACCCAACCAAGCAACCAAAAGAAGGCCCCAATAAGGCTCCCCCCCCCCCACCCAACCAAGCAACCAAAAGAAAACCCCAAATCAGGCTTGACTTTTTCTGAATTCCAGACTTTTGGACTTCGTGGTCTTCTGAAGTTAAGGGGGGCCTTTTGTTCTGAGCGGAGAGGTGGTCGTACGTGTGGGCTTGGGAGTATTGATGATGCTGATGGACTTAGGGTTGAGGCCCAGGGCGGGTCTGAGGAAATGTTGCGTCCGAACTACTTCGCCCCAAGAGCCCTAGACCCTCAGCCCTCAAGCCCCCAAATCGCCCGAAGATCTACAGTTTAGGGTTTAGGGTTTAGGGTTACAGCCCCCCCCTAAACCCTGAAGCCCCGCTCACGCCTCCATCTTGAATCCTAAACAGCCGTGTGGTCGACGAGATCAGCGGAGGGGGTGGCAACAAAAATTTTAAACTGTAAGACCCTCAACCCTCTAAGCCCTGAAGCCCTCTAAGCCCTGAACCCTAAACCCTGGACCCTAAACCCTAAACCCTAAACCCTATAACCCTAAACCCTAAACCCTAAACCCCCTTCCTTACAAGCCCTACACCCTACCGCGAGAAGGGCCTGGGTGGCGCGCTGGCCTCTCTTGGGGGCCAGGAGTCCCGGCCCCCTGGATGCGAAAGTCGTCAGGGTGACTGCGCTCTCTAGTGGAACTCTTGAACCCGCGGCTTTCGGGCTTAGGGGGTTTAGGGTTTCGGGTTTAGGGTTTAGGGTTACCTATAGAGCCTATAAGCCCCCAAAATTCCTCTGGAGATGGGTTCTGGGTCTTTCTGGAGCTTTGCGAGGTCCTCGCCCCGAAGCCAAACCCCGAACATCCAAACTGCGCTGGCCAAAGACTGTTAAGGGTTGGGTCTAAGGTTTAGGGTTTAGGGTTTAGGGTTTAGGGTTTAGGGTTAGGGCTTAGGGTTTAGGATCTAGGGGGTGAGGCTCTTTCCGGCTTACCAAAAACAACAAACTGTGCTGACAAATGTTGATAGTGGAAGAGGCGTGCTGGTCCCGGGGTTTAGGGTTGGGCTCGAAGCTTGGAAATTTTGTCTGTTGCCCTAAACCCTAAACCCAAACCCTAAGTCCTAAACCCTAAAACCGTGATATATATATATATATACACATATATACATTGTTATATCCTTAAAGCCTTTAGATACGGGGGAGGAGGGGGGGGGGGGGGGCAAAAACCCAGGCTTTGGGCTCTGCATGCCTCGTTGTCAATGCCTGGTGCTGCACCTGGGCTGCTGTACTTGGAGGTTCAGGGTACTTAGTAACCCATAATAAGTGTAGTTCTAAGCCACATAAAATCCCCTTAAGTACTCTGATAGGGGTACAAGTACAGTTAGAATTGGGTTACTCAGTACCATGAACCTCCCAGTAGGGTTAGGGCTTCCCTGATTTAACTCTAGGGGCCAGTCATTACGAATAGCATCCCCTGAACATCCCTGCATAATTATACTCTAAGAACCCCCCAAGACCCCATTCAAGTTATTCAGGCAGGTTTCCCGAAGGCTCGAAAGAGCCCAAGAGTATGTATTGTTTATCGACCTCACAGTAGGTGACATTTCTATACTTCGAGCCCGAGGGCTTCGGTTTTGGGGACCTGGCCACAGAGTAGAGAGTAGAGTCCAGAGGCAAAACAGGCTTTGGGCTCAGGGGTTTTATAGGGTTAACATAGGGTTTTATAGGGTTTTTCGGGTTCATCGGGGTTTCAACCCTAAACCCTAAACCCTAGGGCATCAGTGCAGGGTTTCGGGTTTTTGGCTGGGGTTTCGTGACTCCGAGGGTTCCCCAAGGGTAGTTTCATGGGCCCTTAGTATGGTCCTCAACCTCCTGAGGGGTTTTGATGTATGGGCCCTTAACTTGAACAGAGTATATGAGGGGTCTCTAAGGGGCACCCTTTTAAGGGACCATAGAACCCTCGACCCTCAGTGTCTCAAGCCTCATGATCCCCAAACGCCCCCACCCCTCCTGAAGAGATACCCAGAACCCTGAACCATGTAAGCCCTAAACCCATATGAAACTCAACCCTACACCCTATAAATCCCTAAACCATGTCAGCTAGGCGGATGGCAAAAAGAGTCCCTAAACCCGGAACCCGGAACCCTAAACCGCAAAAACCATAAACCTCACTCCCTAAACTCTGAACCGAAACCCTAAGCCCATCAAACCCGAAAGACCTCTAGAGCCCTCAAAAGGCCTCCTCCATGGAAACGCCACGCAGTCTCGCGTTTCGGGATTTGAGTTTTTTTTTGTGAGGGCTTTGAAGAGTTATGGGTTTTCTCGGTTTTTGAGGGTTTCTTGTAGGGTGTTGAAAATGTTTAGGGCTTTGACTGTTTAGGGTGTTTAAAGGTTTGTTTGGGTTCTAGGGCGTTGAGGGTTTCTAGGACTTGTGTGGTTTCTGGGCTCCAAGGTTTTCAGGGTGAGGGTTTAGGGTTTAGGGTTGGATGCCCCCGTTATACCAACAGTCCTTAATAGAGATTATAGTACCCTTAATTATAATCCCTATCAAGGCTTGTTTGTATAAGGGGGAACATCCCAGGTTTAGGGTTTAGGGTTTAGGGTTTAGGGTTTAGGGTTTAGGGCTTTCAAACGACCAAGGCAATGTCGCCGGTGCACTATACTGACGCCCCAGGGCTGTACACTGCCGCCGTCGCCCTGGCCGATGTGTACCTTGGGTCCCCTCTTGAGATATAGAGTTTTTTTCGGTTACCCTAAACCCTAAACTCTAAACCCAGGCAAACAAGGGGTTCGGGGCTCATGAACTCAATCCCCTAAGCCTCCCCCCTCCCCACCCCAACAAGCGAAATGCTGAAGACTTTGTGCCAAGAACAGGGAGACTGTAAGCCCGAACCTAAAACACCGAAATTCCCCAACCCCAGAAAAAAGAACCTTCAACCCTCCGCCCCGCCAAACCCAATAAACCCCTAACCCCAAACCCTAAACCAATCCAGGGTTTGGTGGTCTTCGCGGGCTCAGGATCTAGGGGAGCCAGGCGGTGCCAACGGGGTTTAGGGGCCTTAGGGGCCAAAGGGGTCTTGGGATGTACGGCAGTTTGGAGGTTTGGGGCTTCGAGCTGGGATTTACAGGGTTTAGGGTTTAGGGATTGTTCATGGTATGGGTTCCGCATGAGGGCTTAGAATTGTGCGGGGGGGGGGGGGGGGGGGGGAGGGGGCAGAACGGCCCTTTGTATTTGAGTCCACCGGAAGAGCCCTTCAATCAAACCCCCAAAATCCCTAAGCCCTAACTAAACCCCAAAACCCCCCAAAAAAACAAAACAAAAAACAAACTAAGCCTTGCAAACCCCAAACCCCTAACACAAACAAAACCCCAAAACAACCTAAACCCTAAACCCCTATATACCCTGAACCGAAGCCAGAAGGTCCTATGACATGGGGCCCCTACACTTCTGGCCAGGCCAAGGGAGTTTGGGAAGCTGTTTGGGGTTTAGGTTTAGGGTATATGGTTCAGGGTTTAGGGTTTAGGGAATGTACGAAACATCCTGATCTGCTTGATGAATATTTTTTCCTTCAGGGTCTGTGAGGCTTAGGATAGTTAGGCAGAGGTTCTGGTAGGGTGTATGTCGTACTTCAAAGTCACTGAGGGTTTAAGGTTTGTAGATATATAGATATATGTATATATTATACACGCATACAGCTTTTTTAAGAACCCTCAAGACGCGGCGTATATTTCCCAAGGATGGACCACGAAGATATGCAGGCTCCCCATCAGAACGAGATGTTGGGCTCGCCAAAAGCAGCACATGTCCAGTTCTCGAAATGATGGTTCCACTACCATTGGGGTTTAGTGGGATTAGGGTTTAGTGGGATTGGGGTTTAGGGTTTAGGGTTTAGGGAAAACAGGTCCTGTGATGCTGTACATGCCCCAGGAGGGATCTAAGGTAGACCCCCTTGAGCATTACTAAGCCCAAACAGACAGCAAACCGTGCCCTAAACCCTGAACCCTAACCCTAAACCCTAAACCCTAGACCCTAGACCCTAAACCCTAAACCGCCAGAGGTACGAACACGCCGCTGGCGCACGAGCATTTCGAACGGGCGCCGCGCGAGTTTTTGGACCAGCGCCCGCCGGCGGCGCCTTTGTTGAAAGCAGGCCAGGGGAGTTAGGGTTTCGGGTTTAGGGTTTCGGGTTTAGGGTGTAGGGTTTAGGGTTTAGGGTTGCCCGAAACAGTACTTCGATATATATTTTGGGATGTTCCCCGTTGTACTAACAGTCCTTAATGGGGATTATAGTAACCCCTAGTATAATCCGTATTAAGGTAGTTTAAGGGGGAACATCCCCCCCCCCCCAGAAAAAAATATATATATATATATATATATGTACATGTATACATTCGTGGAAACAAATTGCACGTAAGACCCAAGGGGGAACATCCCTATATATATATATGTATATATATATATATATATTTTTTTTTCGTGGAAACAAATTGCACGTAAGACCCTGTCAGGGGATGCCCTGATCTACGACGAGCAGATCTTGCGCTCTTGGGCGGACAACGCTTCAGCCAAGCCTTTGCCGCTGCTCTTCGTCACCTTCCAGACTACGTGCCGCAGCCATGACATGAGCGGGGTTGGACCAGGTTTGTTGATTTACTTCAGGGTCGGTCGGTCGGAAAGCACCCTAAACCCGAAACCCTAAACCCCGGAGTGCCCACCCCTGGCGAATGCTGCAGAGAATGCTTGAGAGTATTGGTTGAGTCGGAGACTCTGCAACAAATCCGGCAGAGCCAGATGATCACCACGGCGTCCATCACATGGACTTAGTTTTCGGCCCCACTGTCGACGGCCTTAGTGTTTCAGGGCCCCGCCGTCCTAAAACCTAAGCCCTAAACCCTAAAACCATTTTTGCTTGGGTGTAAATTTTCCGTGAAGCCCTGAAACCTGAGCTGCATCATCAACAAAAGGTAAGGCTGCACTGCCATGCTTGGGGTGAAGCGTCTTCAGGCTTCGATCTTCTCGGGTTTCGGGTTCAGGGTTTACATAGGGTTTACATAGGGTTTACGGTTTAGGGTTTAGGGTTTAGGTCCTTTGGATCCCCGCCCTAAACTCTATTAAACCCTAACCTGGAGGGACCAAATGAACCCTGAAAGGGTTTTGGTTCATATACCTTACTTGGAATTATCGCAGTTTCGGGCACTGTATATGTCCCCAATTTTAAGGTTCATTCGGCCTCCCCTAAACCCTTAAACCCTTAAACCCTTAAACCTTTAAACCCTCAAACCCTCAAACCCTTAAACCCTTAAACCCTTAAACCCTTAAACCCTTAAACCCTTAAACCCTTAAACCCTTAAACCCTTAACCCTAAACCCGAAACCCCAAACCCTAAACCCTAAACCCTAAACCCTCAACCCTAAACCCTAAACCCTAAACCCTAAACCCTAAACCCTAAACCCTAAACCCTAAACCCTAAACCCTAAACCCTAAACCCATCCCTGTGTGCAACTCTACCAAGGCGCGGACAAGAAGCGGAGACGCAGGCCATCCCAGAGCTGCTGCTGCCGTCTCTGCACGGCCGCTTCCGCCTGCGCCACTTTCGGCCGGAGTGAAGTGGAAAAAGCAAGGGTTTAGGGTTTCGGGTTTAGGGTTTAGGGTTTTTGGGTTTAGGGTTTAGAGTTTATAGGGTTTAGGGTGTAGGGTTATCATGGGATAGCCAGAGACTCCAAAACCCCTTAATTAAGGAATATCCCTTAAATTATTATAGGAACCCAAATATGATTTAAGGTATATTCCTTAATTAAGGGGTTTTGGGGTCTCTGGGTAAGTGGAGAAAGCGTGCCAAGAGCGTGTAACGCCTAAGCCCCATAATGCCTCAAACTCACATCTCAGAATGGTTTTCAGACTCTAAACCCTCATCCCTAAACCCCAAACCCAAATCCCTCAAGCCCAAAATTTGGCGCGAGTGAGGGCAGTGCGGGTGGCAAAACAAGCCCAACATTTGAGGTCACCCTAAACCCTAAACCCTAAACCCTAAATCAGAAGCGAGCATGGCTTGGTGGCCGAGGCTGAATGTAATCTTCCACTCCACCCGTGGGCCGTGGACTAAGCAGTGCAAGTGCTGCTATGGTTTGGGGCTTTAGGGTTTAGGGCTATTTAGAGTTTAGGCTTTAGGGTTAGGGTTTAGGGTTTTGGGCCGTGGAGCTGCAACCAGGTTTCGTCTTTTTTTTCCGGGTTTAAGTTTAGATAAGTTCAGACGAGTTCATGGCCCCAGCAAAGAGACCACAGTTGTCTATCTTAGTCCCAGAAGTCCCAAACCCTAAACCCTGAACCCTAAATCTTTGAGAACCATGTTTGGGCTGAGGTTTTGGTGTCCCCCAGAGACCCATTCTCATACCGTTTGGCAGAATCTCTGGCCCTGGCCGGTGTTTCGTATCCCGACCAGGGTTGGGGTTTAGGTTTTAGGGCTTAGGGTTTAGGGTTTAGGGTTTAGGGTTTCCGAGTACCTGAGAGAGAGAGAGAGAGAGAGAGAGAGAGAGAGAGAGAGAGAGAGAGAGAGAGAGAGAAAGAGAGAGAAGGTTTAGGGTTCATCCAACATCTAGACTCGGTACTCGGACCCTGTGGATCCATGTACCTGCAGAGTATATACTTGAGCCTGAAAGCTGCTCCCATAGAGTAGCCTTTACGACCCAAATACATGCCATGATTCTAAACCCTTTAAACCTGAACCCCCAAACCTTAACCCCTAAAAACCCAAAACTGTAATCCCTATTGACCTAAAAAGGTACATGGACCTTCAAACTCTAAGCCCTAAATCTTAAACCCTAAACCCTAAACCCTAAACCCTAAACCCTAAACCCTGCAGCCCCTATAAACCTGAAAAGGCCTTCGGCCCCTAAAAAGCGCTGCAGGGCGCACGCTGTGTGTGCGAACCGCTTGCCTCAGCTGTGGCCCGTGCAACTTAGTGCCCGAAGCCCCAAGGTCTTTTGGGGTTTATAGTGTTTAGGGTTATAGGGTTTAGGGTTTAGGGTTTAGGGTTTAGGGAGAGAGAGGGTTATAGGGTTTAGGGTTATAGGGTAAAAGGGTTATAGGGTTTAGGGTTTAGGGTTTAGGGTTACCTATACCTTAAGAGCCCCAAAGCCTACCTTGTTTTGTAGGGTGTTATTCCATGAACCACTTGCAGGGTTTCTTCGGCAACCTACCAACAAGTGGGTTTGCGGTTCTAAAGGTATAAACCCTAAATAGAAACAACTCCCTAAGTGATCCGGAGTGCTTATATCACTTGTTTGATTGATTGGTGCCTACCTAATCTACTCCTGACCTCATAAACCTAAAACATGCCGAGAAGGCAAGAAAGCATGGTTTGGCATCTATAGGGTTTGGGGTTCATGGTTCAGGGTTTACTTTAACTTGAGGGTTGAGAGTTTACGGTTCAGGGGCAAGCCGCATCGTACAGGATTTGGGATGTATAACCCTAAACCCTAAACCCTAAACCCTGTAGGGCTTGCCCCAGAGGCTGACCCACAAGAAGGGGGATCGCATCATCGGGGAGGCGCGGCTCCTGTGGTGGGTATCAGCAGAATTTCCTGGTGCACCTTTAGGGTTTAGGGTTCAGGGTTTAGGGTTTGGGGTTTAGGGTTTAGGGTCTAAGGTTTAAGGTTAGGGTTTATGGTGCACCTTTTGGGGCGACGCACCCTAAACCACTCATTGCAGCTTAACCGCGAGACTCAAGCGTTGGGTGGTCGACTATAGGTGTGAGAGTACCCCGATGCTGCAGGTGGTGCTTCCGAACTGGCAATTCTAGCAGCACTGGTCCTTGCGATTTTCGTGTTGGTGACCCTGCTGATGGCACTCCCACTTCATCAAACCCTATCTCATCTCCTACACCCGCAGCCATTTTGGCACACTTCTTGTTTTTTAGGAATCCCCGACTCTCTACTCACCATGCCAAGCAGCCAGACAATAGCCTGCCTTGCCGCTGCGGCGGCGGCCGGCATCGTGGCGCCCACGTTCCTCCCCGGTTTTGCGGGCGCCGGTGCGCGCGCACCAGCTGCTCCGCAGCTCCGTGGCTCCACAGCCGCTGGCGCAGGCTCCGGTGTGGGTGCCATCGGTGCCATTGCTGCCGGTGGCGCCATAGTGACTGCGCTCGCCTCCGCACGCCCGGCACGCGCGGCGCACAAGGCCGCTTGCAAGGCCGGCCGCCGTGAGCTAGCGGTCGCCTACGAGGACTCAGGCATCGACCTCCTTGACAACGGCAAGTTCGCGCAGGGCTTGGTGGGCTCCGAGGGTGCCTGGGGGCGCTACGAGTTCGATCCCTTGGGCTTCTCTTCGAAAACGGAGCAGGTCCCCTGGCTTCGTGAGGCGGAGCTCAAGCACGGCCGCATCTGTATGCTCGCCTGGCTCGGCTTGGTGGTCCCGGACTTCGTTCGCCTGCCGGGCGAGAAGTTCTCATTCGAGGCCGTGCCTGTCTCCATCGATGCTCACGAAGCCTTCCGCGGTGCAACGGGCGTCAACGCCCAGATCTTGTTCTGGGTCAGCCTCGTGGAGCTCTGCTGCACGAAGAAGGTCTTCGAATGGAACTCTCTCGAGGTCGCCGGCGACTATGGTCTCACCAGCTGGTTCCCCAGTGACGAGGAGGGCCAGAAGAAGATGCGCTTGGCCGAGCTCAAGAATCTCGGTAGGCCCTCTTAAGGACATTTCTTTATGTTCCTTTATTGGGTTTAAGAGGACCATATTCAGGAGTTTTTTTCGGAAGGCTTTCTTGGGCCATCCTAGGAATGGGCGCCTGGCTATGCTCGCCTTTGCTGGCGCGGTCACCCAAGCTGTCCTGACTCGCCATCCTTTCCCTTGGCTGTACTGAGAGAGGGCTTTCGGCTGTTGCAGCTAGCCTATAGTCGCAGACCTAAGTCTTCAGTTCTTGCTTCGAGTTACTAGACCGCATGTGGGCCAGAACTCTAAGCTAAAAATTGTATCTAGGACCCAGAGTGGGCCCTTATTTCTTGTTTTTGCTAAGGGTTGAGGTTCCCAAATCTTCCCTTTGGAACCAAGAAGGGGCACCCTGTTCTATTCCTAGGTCTAGGTGGGTTTAGGGTTTAGGGTTTAGGGTTTAGGGTTCTAGGGTTTAGGGTTTAGGGTTTGTGTGCCATCGGAGATCTGGCCCACAGAGGGGTCAGCTGCCCTCAGCCAGCAAATCGTCGGGTAGAGTAGAGAGTGGAAGGATCGAACTTGCCGGCCTCGTGTGAAAGTGAGAGCCGAAGACCACCCTAAACCCTAAACCCTAAACCCTAAACCCTAAACCCTAAACCCTAAACCCTAAACTGCCCGACTGCGAGCATTGGCCCATTGGCCTTGCCTGCCCTGTGTGATTGCGAGGCTCGAAGGCCCCTAAACCCTAAACCCTAAACCCTAAACCCTAAACCCTAAACCCTAAACCCTAAACCCTAAACCCTAAACCCTAAACCCTAAACCCTAAACCCTAAACCCTAAACCCTCCCCGCTCCGGAGGTGCACATCACGCTGCCGGCCTTTGAGAAGCTGCGCGAGAGGGCAGGACCGCTACTCAGGCTCACCTGGGGTTCAGGGTTTAGGGTTTAGGGTTTAGAGCTAGGGTTTAGGGCTTAGGGATCACCTGCCTCGTTGCTTCTGGTGTGATTAAATGGTCTTGGCAGGCCAGTGGCGCCATTTACCTTGTCTTTGGTTACTGTTATGGGTTGGCTCCCTCATAAAAGTAGTAACCAACCCAAGAAGGGTGCCCTTGTTGTAATATGGTTGCTGGGCTACCAAGTAATGTTCACGGCTTAAACTGTTGTGCGGATCTAAAGTGGCTTCAGAACGTTAGGGGTATTGGCTTTAGGGATATGCGGGGTGATGCAGAGGTATGCGCCAGGAGGATCCAACTGGGCCAGGGGCGCATGGATTCTTATGATGAGTCTTCAGACAGCGTCATCCAAGAATGTTCTTGAGGGGAGGCCCGTGTACTGCTGAGGGCCTGCGCCCGGCATTCCAGGGCCCAGACTCGGTACCTGGAGGACCATATGAACCCTAAGAGGGTTCATGGTTCAAATACCTCAATAGGAATTATAGTAGCAAACCCTAAACCCTAAAACCTAAACCCTAAACCCTAGACCCTAGACCTAGACCCTAGACCCTAAACCCTAACACCTAAACCCTATAATGGGTTTTTTTGACTCCCCAATTTTGAGGTTCATCTGGTCCCAAGGGCAAGCAAATACCTGTAAATAGTATAGCCGAACCCTACACCCTATAATGGGTTTTGTTGACCCCCAACTTTGAGTTCAGTCGGTCCCAAGGGTAATCTGCCCCCCTAAACCCTAAACCCTAAACCCTAAACCCTAAACCCTAAACCCTAAACCCTAAACCCTAAACCCCCCCACTTCGGTTCGACAGTTCTGCGTTGCAGGCACATGGAGCGTGAGGAGAGCCTCATGGTCAGGGGCTGAGCCTGCCATGCCCTCTAAACCCTAAACCCTAAACCCTAAACCCTAAACCCTAAACCCTAAACCCTAAACCCTAAACCCTAAACCCTAAACCCTAAACCCTAAACCCTAAACCCTAAACCCTAAACCCTAAACCCTAAACCCAAAACCATAAAACCTAAACCCTAAACCCTAAACCCTAAACCCTAAACCCTAAACCCTAAACCCTAGCCCTAAACCCTAAACCCTAAACCCTAAACCCTAAACCCTAAACCCAAGCCCTAAGCCCTAAGCCCTAAGCCCTAAGCCCTAAGCCCTAAGCCCTAAACCCTAAACCCTAAACCCTAAACCCTAAACCCTAAACCCTAAACCCTAAACCCTAAACCCTAAACCCTAGCCCTGAACCCTAAACCCCAAACCCCTAAACCCTGAATCCTAAACCCTAGACTCTAGACATCAGTGAAGTATTCTGCCATGTTGGGGGGGGGGGGGGTAAGGGTTGGAGTTTAGGGTTTCTGTTCAGCTTAAAGCCATTGGAGTTTAGGGTCAGATTCGAGAGGATCCACGGCCCGGGTTTTTTTTCTGTTAGCCGAAGCCCCGGGCCCAAACCCCAAACCCCAAACCCCAAACCCCAAACCCCAAACCCCAAACCCCAAACCCCAAACCCCAAACCCCAAACCCCAAACCCCAAACCCCAAACCCTAAACCCTAAACCCTAGCCCTAAACCCTAAACCCTCTCAGGCCAAGGGCTCCGAGCTCCTCAGTGAGGCCTCGGAAGGTGCGAAGTCGAGGCACCCCCGTTGGCTTTGGGGAAGCTTCGGGTTTAGGGTTTAGGGTTTAGGGTTTAGGGTTTAGGGTTTAGGGTTTAGGGTTTAGGGTTTAGGGTTTAGGGTTTAGGGTTTGGGGTCCGCCTGTTGCAAAAAGGGTTTGGGGTTCAGGGTGCTTTACGGTCTAGGGTTTAGGGTCTGGAGTCCTGGGTTTCGGGTTGAGGGTTTAGGGCTGAGGGCTGGAAAGGTTTCCCTTCTTGGGGTTCTGGGTTCCTTCTTTTTTTTTTTTGGGGGGGGGGGGGGTATATTTGCTGAGCTACCGGGGGGAGTGCACATTCGCCATTTGTTCGGTCTTGGTGCTTCTCTTTTTTGGGTGTCGGGCGTCGGTTTCAGAGTCTGGCTTTGGCAGTTTTCATCTCAAGCAGCCAGGTGGGGGTCTCTTAGGTTAGTGTTGGGGTGTAGGGTTTCGGGTTTCGGGGTTTATAGGGTTTAGGGTTTAGGGTCCCAGTGCCCCTCCCCGTTTTGAGGTGCGAGTGGCCTGAATAGCTCTCTGTGGCGGACATGGGCCTCCTTTCGTTGAGCGTGTGAACCCTTGGACCCCTCAACCCGAAACTCTAAACCCTTCAACCCCTCAAGCCTTCAACCTTAGGATGTTGTACTAAGAGTCCTTAATAGGAATTCTAGCACCCACTATTATAATCCCTATGGAGGACTGTTAGTGAACATCCCAACCTCAACCCTTCAACCCCTAAAACCCATAAACCGTGCGCGGCCGAAAAGGATGGACCGATAGCAGGCCAGATCGAGGCCACCGGGGAAGGGTTGAGGGTTCAGGGGAAAGGGTTGAGGGTTTAGCTCAAAAGGGTTTAGGGTGCGCCTTTCATGTGCTGTGTGTTGCATCCCTGGAGTGTGGTGCGAGGCTGCTCGGCAAGTGGCAAAACCCTTTCCATGTCAATGTACACCCTAGTGGCCTTGTTCGGGGCACTAGCAGGGCCGTTCCATGTACCGGTCCGGCTCAGACGGCGTGTTCTTGTGAGGTGACTTGGACTTTGGGCTCAGGGTGTAGGGTTTAGGTTTAGAGTTTAGGGTCTGGGGTTTAGGGTTTGGGTTTAGGGTTTAGGGTTTCGGGCTTCAGAGTTTAGGGCTTCCGATAGGCTTGAGGGTGCTTCGGGGACTTGGACCCGGAGCCAACGTCCGCTCCGTGCTGAGGCCATGGGCAGCGTACTGATCGAGTGTAGCTGCAGCCCGCAGTAGGACCTGGCGTGCGGACTGGGATGCGGGAGCCCAAGCAGCTCGGATAAGCACTTCCGTAAACCCTCAACTCCATCTGTCTCTCTGCTTATAAACATAAACACATACATGTATATATATATATATATACATGTATATGTATATATGTAGAGAGATATACATATATATATATGTTTATTTATTTATTATTTATGTATTTATGTATTGGAACCATCCCTCTTGTGATTCCCAAGACACTTTCCCGCTCCCGGCCCAAAGACCCCTGGAAGCACGAAGCCATAGAAGCAGTTTCCACCCTGAACCCTAAACCTTTGAGCCCTAAACCCTAAAGCCTAAACCCGAAACCCGAAACCCTAAACCCTAAACCCTAAACCCTAAGGGCTAGATAACTGCCGGGCTCCATAAATGAGCATCCCTCAATCCTCCCTCAATCAGGGTTTAGGGTGTATAAGCGCTTAGGGGCCGAACCCTCCGCAGTCCTGGGCCAAAAATCCAAGGTTTAGAGATTAGCGGCTAGGGTTTATCAGGGTTCCAAGAGTTTACAAGGGTTTAGGGCTTAGCCCGCTGTTACAATCCAGCGCCCCCCCCCCCCCCCCCCCCCCCCCCCCCCCCCCCCCCCCCCCCCCCCCCCCCCCCCCCCCCCCCCCCCCCCCCACCCCAAAACCTGCCACCTTTTCATAGATATTTTTCAAAGGGTTTAAGGCACAACTCAGAAAAAGCAGAACTGGGTGGGCTTCAGGAACTTGAACTAAGTTGCCCGAAAAAAAAAGAGAAAAAAAAATGGCCACGGTGTATGACCCTAAGCCCTAAACCTTGTAAAGCCTAAACCCTCGAGCCGATCGTGTAACTTGAGGCCAACAGAGTTTAGGGATTTAGGGTTTAAGGTTTAGGGTGGAAAATTGAGTAAAAGGTAAAGGCTACACCCCGCACCCTCAGGCTGCACATTCCGGAGTCTCCTATAGGCAGGGTAGAAGGATTGTAGTATTGGGGTAGATTAGGCCCTTTTGTGCGGGGGCAATACCCGTTTAGGGGCGGCAACAAAAGAAGAACTCTCTAAACCCTGGAACCCTATCCGGTGCCCTATTCATAGAATAGAGTCTTCGATCGTCGCTTATGACATGACACGTTTCAAAGGAATCGCAATGGAAAATAAGATTGGCAAATAGCTAGGCTCCAGGATTAACGTGTTGTTTTGTTCTTCGCAGATGCAGCTCCACAGTCAAGTGCTCCCTGCACCCCAAAGCGTCGCAAGATCATTGCGCAGCCTACCAAGACCACAAGCAGTCCTTGGCTGCATGGAAGCAAATCGAATTTTTGTGCCAGCTCCGGCAACGCAAGGTCTCCATCCCTAATCCCCTGTATCATATCTATGACCATTCATGCATGATTTAATGACAATCATTAT